ATTATTTGGTTGTAACAACCGCATTTACTTTTTGGACTCGGGACTTTAAAATGGGAAAGATACTGCTTTAAGCCAAGACGCTGTAAGAAAAAGATGTGGTAGTTCATGGAAAAAAAAAGGTCATCAGGAGTCACTGAGTGTTGAATCTACAATGTGATCTTGTACAAGCAGTGGGGGAGGAGGCTAGACACCTCTTGTATGTTTATGGGAATTTCTTAAAATGGGTAGAGAAAAGAATTGTGGAATTATATGTTAGCAAATTTGTGTTTTTTTTTGCCGTCAGTTAAAAGTAATCTATTTTCAATAAACAGCTGTTTTCTTGTTATACAGAAACCTGATGAGTGTTTTCTTTTAATCTGAGTTCCTCAGTCAGGTCAATCTTTTCACATTTGTGACAACTCTGAGAATAGTGGACTTGATTTCAGTGCACTATACCAGCGAGTCTTGACAGGATTGACTAATAAAGTGTAAAGTTTCCAGACAAATGTGTCTCAAACCCCATCTAGGAAATAAATTCAGCCCATTGTGTCCACAAATCCTTTTTGAAAATTCTAAATGCAGCATTGCATAAACTATACTTTCCTGTATTTTTAATTGTTTTCCCTACAATATAGGCAAATTTGGAAGTAACAGAAAACTTGCACTGTCTCTCTCGTGCAAGCTGGATGCACCAAAGTGCTTTATTGTCACCATTTGGATTGTATCCACTGGCAACAAGTGGAGAAACAGAATAGCCACATTGCATATAGTAAAGGTCTATTCACAAGAATGAGATAAATAACTAGTTAGTCTGTGATTGGTATTGATTTGAGGGAAGACTGTCATTAAAAATACGATGTGGAGGTGCTGGTGTTGGACTGGGGTGGACAAAGTCAGAATTCACACGACACCAGGTTCTAGTCTAACAGGTTTATTTGAAATCACATGCTGCTCCTACATCAGGTAAAGTGATGAAGGAACAGTGCTCCAAAAGCTTGTGATTTCAAATAAACCTGTTGGTCTATAACCTGGTGTCGTTATTTTTTAAATTCATTTTGTGGGATTGTGAGCGTCGCTGGCTGGCCAGCATTTCTTGCCCGTCCCTAGTTGCCCTTAAGAAGGTGGTGGTGAGCTGCCGTTTTGAACCGCTGCAGTCCTCCTGCTGTGGGTTGACCCATAATGCTATTAGGGAGGGAATTCCAGGATTTTGACCCAGCAACAGTGAAGGAACGGCGATATATTTCCAAGTCAGGATGATGAGTGACTTGGAGAGGAACTTGGAGCTGATGGTGTTCCCATATATCTGCTGCCCTTGTCCTTCTTGATGGAAGTGGTCATGGGTTTGGAAGGTGCTGTCTGAGGATCTTCGGTGAATTTCTGCAGTGCATCTTGTAGATAGTACACACTGCTTTCTCTGCCCAAATCTATAATCTATCTATCTCTATCCCACTGCATCCTTTAACAATCTTCCTCACTATACGCAACTCTGCTAATTTTGGTGTCATCCACAAACTTACCAATCAGACCACCTACATCGTCCTCCAGATCATTTATATATATACACACAAAAAAGGACGTAGCACTGATCCCTGTGGAACACTACTGGTTACTGATTTCCATTCTGAAAATCACCCTTCGATCGCTACTGTTTTCTATGACCATGCTAGTTCTGTATCCATCTAGGTAGCACACCCCAGATTCCATGAGACTCTATGTTTTGTACCAGCCTGCCATGACGGACCTTATCAAATACTTTACAAAAGTCCCTATCGACAACATCCACTGCCCTTCCCTCATCAAACATTCTTGTCACCTCCTCCAAAAACTCAGTCAAATTGGTGAGACATCACCTTCCCTGCACAAACCCATGCTGTCTATCACTAACCAATCCATTCCCTTCTAAATGTGAATAAATCCTGTCTCTCAGTACCTTCTCCAAAAGCTTCTCCCACATTGATACCAAGCTCACCAGAGATAACAAGGTGTAGAGCTGGATGAACACAGCAGACCAAGCAGCATCAGAGGAGCAGGAAGGCTGACGTTTCGGGCCTAGACCCTTCTTCAGAAAATGCTCACCAAGCTCACCAGCCTGTCATTACCTGGATTATCTCTGTTTTCCTTCTTAAATGAAGGAGCAGGAATTGACCATTCGTTCCCCTTTTCCCCTTGAGCCTACTCTATTATATGATAAAGTCATGGCTGATTTTCTGGTGGCCTATTTCCTCTTTTCTGTCTCCAATATACTTTGGCTGCCCTCTTGATCAAAGATGTGCCTAACTCAGCCTTGAAAGTATTTAGTGATACAGTTTCCTTTGCTGTCTGGGAAAGAGAATTCCACAAACTAGCAACACTGAGAAAAAAGGGATTGATTAAGAAAGGTAAAATAGAGTGCAAATGTAAGCTAGCAGGGAACATAAAAACTGATTATAAAAGTTTCTACAGGTACGTGAAGAGAAAGAGATTGCTGAAGACAAATGTCACAGACAGTCACAGACAGCGGAATTAATAATATGGAACAAAGAAATGGCTGACCAACTAAATGCATACTTTGTTTCTGTGTTCACAAAGGAGGATACAAATAACTTAGCAGAAAGCTAGCTGGGAGGGTGAGCTGAGGAAGATAGAGATGCTTCTGGGCAATTTAGACAAGCTGAGTGAGTTGCCAAAATGCATGGCATATACAATGTAAAATGGATAAATAAATGTGAGGTGTAATCCATTTTGGTCGCAAAAACAGGAAGGCAGATGATGATCTGAATGGCTATAAATTGAGAGAGGCAATGTGCAATGAGACCTGGGTGACCTCATACACCAGTCACTGAGGTAACCATGTAGGTGCAGCAGGCAGTGAAGAAGGCAAACGATATGTTGGCCTTCATAACTAGAGGATTAGAGTACAGGAACAGGGATGTATTACCACAATTATATGGGGTCTTAGTGAAATCACACCTGGAATATTGTGTGCAGTTTTGTCCCTTTATCTGAGGAAGGATGTTCTTGCTATGGAGGAAGTGCATCAAAGATTCATCAGACTGATTCCTGGGATGGTGGGACTGCCACACCTAGAAAGGTTGATTTGGTTAGGATTGTGTTCAGTGGCGTTCAGAGCAATGGGGAAGGGGAATCTCATATTTCACATAGGAGGTTTTTTTTTACTAATGGTGTTGCAAGGGCTAAGCAATACAGGCATTTTCAATATATTGATTTTTTTTAAAAATGGGAAGTAATACCACATGAAACTCCTGTTCACTATCAATTTCAGTAATCTCAATGCCGACATTGGCTTCCATTCCTAGTCAATGAACATAGCATCAAGACATTTTTCATCTTAAATATTTTGATTGAATTATTCTTTTTTCTAATAATTCAATGTGATGGCAACTGCACACTCCTGAAATTTTTACCCAAGCCCTGAAATGGACCTGTTCCTTTTCCAGCAAAGCTGACTTGCTCCACTGCACATTATGTATAATTCTAACAGAACTAGACAGGGTAGATACAGGAAGGATATTCACAGGGGAGTCCAGAACCAGGGGTTACAGTCTAAAGATATGGGTAAACCATTTTAGTACTGAGACGATTAGAAATTTCTACACCCAGAGAATGGTCAACCTGTGGAATTCACAACTTCGATAGCAAGCAAGTCTAAAACACTGTATAATTTTAAGGAGGAGTTGGATATAGCACTTGAGGCTAATGTGTTCGAGTTGGATGATCATAATGATTGGCGGAGCAGGCTCAAGGGCCAAATGGCCTACTCCCACTCCTGTTTTCTAAGTTTCTGTATTTCATCTATAAGATGGCATTGCAGAAATTCACCAAAAATCCTTAGACACACCTTCCAAATCCAAAGTATTTCTATCTAGAACAAGAGCAGCAATACATGGGAACATGACCATCTGCAAGTTCCCCTCCATTCCACTCACCATCCTAGCTTGGAAATATACCACCGTGCCTTCATCATTAGGTCAAAATCCTGTAACTTCTTCTCTAACAGCATTTTGTGTCTACCTACACAGCATATTGACTCCAGTGATTCAAGAAGTCAGCTCACCATCATCTTGTCATGGGCAATTTGTTGATAATTTTTCCTTTTAGCTGGGAGGTTTTAGATTTGGAGGTGGATTCCATAGGATGTTTTAATAGGGAGCAGGGTATAAATTTGAAAGTGATGAAGTTAGAAGGCTTTGAAGGCAAGGCTGGAGAATGGAACTAGCTGGGTAGCTCTTTTGGGAGCTAGTGCGACACAGTGGTCGAATAACCCCCTTCTACACTGTAAAATTCTATGATTCTAAGTAATTCCATATGAAACTCAAGGTCACTTGCAATTACAGTAACCTCAATGCTCACATTGACTAGGAATAGAAGCCAATGTATATAGCATCTAGACCTTTTTCTTCATTTAAATTGTTTTGATTACATGACATTAAAAAAAAACTACTTCAATCAGATGATATCTGCATGCTCTGAAATTGTTACCCAAGCAGTGAAATAGACTTGTTCCCTTTTCAGCAAAGCTGCCTTGCTTCACTGCACATAATGTCTCCTGTGTTAGGAAATTCTGAAAGTTACATTCCTAACCATAACCAGGAACTGGCCTGTAAATGCATACTGTGAGTTTATTATCACAGACCATTCAATAGCCTTGTGAAAGAAAAGCTGAAATTAATGAACTGTTAAAGAAATGTTCTGGAATATTGCCAAGTGATCTCCCCATGTAATATGTTTTTTTAAATTCATTCACAGAATGTGGGCATCGCTGGCTAGGCCATCATTTGTTGCCCATTCCAAATTGCCAAAAGGACAGTTAAGAGTCAAGCACATTGCTGTGGGTCTGGAGTCACATGCAGTCCAGACTGATTAAATAAGTTATCATTTAATGATGTTGAGAAACAAGGAATGAAAATATGTTATTCAGTTCAGTAATCCTGCTAAAATTGGTTTTTCACTATTGGATAAGCAATTGTTTATTCTCAGCTTAGCAGAATTTCAGTGCAACTCTTGAAATCTCTTTGTTACAGAAAGTTACACAACTGCAAAAGTTGTTGCTGCGGTTGACATCAATACTATTGCCAATGAAGTTTACAAGCACAACTTTCCTAACACCTATCTCTGTCCCAAGACAATTGAAGTAAGTTATGACCATATAGTTTATTACTTTTTATGCATTCGTCTTTTTGTATGACATTTATGGAAAGTAACAGACATTTTATAAGTTTTTGCCTTTTTCTAAGTGTTTTAATTTGACCCCCTGCTATTAATAATTAAGAGCATTTAGAATTTTTTGTTGAGCATAGCTTTCTGTAACCCCTCAATCCAGCATACTCAATAACATTAGTAAAGCTGAAATGCTTCCTTTACATCGAACCTTTATTTTGCATTCATATTTTCACAATGAATAAATTGCATTTTGAAGCATATTTAGTATATGTAGGCAAATCTGGAAGCCAACCACACTCAGCAAGGTTCTACAAATAAAGAGTGACGAGTTCTCTAATTTTGGTAGTGGCGGTGGAAGCATAGAATCCCTATAGAGCAAATAGAGGCCACTTGGCCCATCAAGTCTGTACTAACCCTCTGAAGAGCATTTCCCTCTCCACACATGCACATGCATAGGCGCACACACTCCTCATGGCCCAGGTTGGCCACAGCCAGACCACCTAGCCTGCCAGATCGGCCGAGCATTCCCAACAACATCTGTTTTTGTAGCATCGTGAATCCTTCTAACCTGCGCATCTTTGGATTGTTGGCTGGCACTGTTTTTTGTTTGTAGACTGTTTCTTTTGAGCATGCCTATACAAACATAGGAATCAGGAGCAGGAATAGGCCACTCAGCCCTCGAGCCCACTTCACCATTCAATGAGATTAAGGCTAATCTGATTACTTAACATATTTGTTGCCCCTGATGACCTTTCTCTTTGCCTATCAAGAATGTGCCTGTCTCTGCCTTAAAACTATTTAAAGACTTTGCTTCTGCCACCTTTTGAAGAACAGAGTTCCAAAGATCCACAATGCTCTTGTGAGAAAAATTCCTCCTCATCTGTTTGGATGACCCCTTTTTATGCAGTACTCCCTGGCTCTAGATTTTCCCACAAGAAGAAATATCCTTTTCACATCCTCACTGTCAAGACCCCTCAGAATTTCTTATTTCAATCAAATTGCCTATTATTTTTCTAAACTCCAGTGCATATGACCTTAGCCTTAAAACAATCTTTCATATGATTCCAGGTACTATTCTAGTAAACCTGCTCTTAACTATTCAAATACATTTAAATCCTTCTTTAAGTAATTGCACTGTACACAGTACTCCAGATGTGGTCTCATCAATGTCCTGAATAACTGAAGCATAATTTCCCTTCTTCTGTATTCAATATCCCTTGCAATAATCAATACTATTCTCTTGATTTTCCTAATTACTGGTTGTAGCTGCATATTCACGTTTTGAGATTCATGCGTTTAGGACACCTAGATCCATCAGCATCTCAGAACTGACAATCTCTCACCATTTAAATAACATGCTTTTGTAAACGCCTGCCAAAATTATACGTTTTCCCACATCTTTTTACTGCATTTGCCAGATGCTTGCCCATTCAGTTAACCCGTGTCCTAGAGTAGCGTCTTTATGTCCTCTTCAAAACTGACTTTCCCACCTATTGTTTTCTGCCATCAGCAAACTTGGTAAATTTAACTTTCAATCCTTTCATCCAAATTGTAAAATAATGCAACCCTAGCACTGATCCCTGAGGTACATCACATGGTATATCTTGCCAACCAGAAAATGATCCATTTATGTCTACTCTCTGTTTCCTGTTAGTTCACCAATCTTCTATTCATATCAATATGTTACCCTCAAGAGCTTTTATTTTCTGCAACAGTCTTCGTTGTGGCACCTTAATCTTCATTGTAGCACCTTATGAAATGTCTTCTGGAAATAGAGTACAGTATATCTGTTGGTTCTTCTTTATCCATAGTACATCTTACTTCTTTAGAGAACTCCAAAAACAATGATTGAGCAAGATTTCCCTTTCAAAAAAGTCTTCCAAGGTCTGCTTTGTTACTTTTAATTTACAGGGGTCCTGCTATAATATCTTTACTAATAGCTTCTAACATTTTTCTGATGATAGATTTTAAGCCATCTACCCTGCAGTTTCCTGCTTACTGTCTCCTTCCATAAATTTGCTATTTTTCAATCTAATGGGACTTCTGAAACTGGGGAATTTTAGATAATTGAAGCTAATAAATCAAGTAGCTCACTAGCCACTTCATTTAAGTCCTAAAGATGAAGTCCATTAGGATCAGTCTTGGTTTAGCATTTTGTCCAAAAGGTGAACAAAGGGATTATTTGTCGATTTTTTTTTTAAAGAAAAAGGTCAATCTAGTTCACTTTAACATTCTGGTGGTGCAGCAGTCTACAACAGACTCAAGCATGAGGTGACAAAAAGCTGCCAGTGGTGCTGTTTATCCCTAAGTAACTTGCTATATGTCATGTGTTAGTTTATGCATAAAGTATCCCAAAATAACATTTTCTGATCAAAATAATTTAATTTCCAGTTGAACACAATATCCTTTCACTGTCTTCCTATGGAGGTATTTATCGATTTACCATTTCCCAATCATTCACTGAATAATTTCTTGGAATTTGTGGGGTTTATTAACAACAAGCTGCCACCCTCTGCTGTCATTACCCTCCTGAATCTGACTGCATGTTCAGTATTTAGCAGAAGCACAGCTTAATGTGGAAAGTTGCCATCTATCATTCTTTGCTGTGCAGTGGAATTCCCTTGCCCCCCCAAAAACCAGAGCTGAAAATCAGTGAAATCAATTTATTTAGCACAAAATTGCCCTTTTCCACTGAGCTCATAAAACATTAAACCTTAGTTGCTGAGGTGTAATTGAGTTTTTTTTACAGGTGACCTGAGTAGTAACTACTCATGAACAGCCAATCTGGCCCTGAAAAAATGAATTTTATATTTGTGGAATGTTGTTAAATATCTATAATTAGAAAGAATTACTGGATTTTTAAGACATTTTTTTCCAGAAGTCATGATTTTTATTATAGTCTGCAAAATCTCTAAAAGATTTTGCTAATTTTAATTTCTTGTTTGATTGTCTGAAAATGTTTCTACTGTGATTGGCTGGTGGGCTATTAAATGATATCAACATGGCTGACGCTAGTAATCACCATTAAATGTTTTTACATTAATGAATGTCAAGAGAGATCTCTCTGAAGTTTTCTTTGAGATCAGTGGCAAGTGTCCTTGCTTTGCCAGGCCAATATTTCGGCTAGAGACAAAAAAACTGCAGATGCTGGAATCCAAGGTAGACAAGGAAGCTGGAAGAACACAGCATGCTAGGCAGCATCTGGAGGAAAGGAGCAGTAACATTTGGGTATTACCCTTCTTCAGGACTGGATGTGGGGGTAGGGGGAGCTGCAGATAAAAGGGGAGGAGGCGTGGAGGCGGAATAGTGGTGATAGGTGGACATCGGTGGTAGGTACGACCTGGTTGGTCGATGGGAAGGATGAATCTGGTTGGTGGCTGGAGAGAGGGTCAGAAGGTGGAATGGAAGGGTGGAGATGGGGCTGGAAGGGAAGCCGGGGGATGGGCGGAAAGGTTATTTGAAATTGGGGAACTCAGGCTGAAGGGTGCCCAGGCAGAAGATAAGGTGTTGTTCTTTAAATTTGTGTTCCAAGTTGCTGCAATACTGGAGGAGGCCGAGGATGGACACGGAGGGGGAGTGGGGCGGGGAGTTGAAATGGGCGGTGACCAGGAGGTTAGGTTGGCTGTTTTGGGCCACGTGGAGGTGCTCGGCGAAACAGTTACCTAATCTACGTTTAGTCTCACCGACGTAGAGAAGACCATATTGGGAGCACTAGATGCAATAGACTAGTTTGGAGGAGATGCAGGTGCAGCTCTGTCTTACCTGGAAGGACTGTTTAGGGCCCTGACTGGAGGTGAGGGAGGTGGTACGTGGGCAAGTGTTGCATCTTTTACAGTTACAGGGGAAGGTACTGGGTGGGTTGGAGTGGTTGGTGGGGAGTATAGTGCGAACTAAGGAGTGGCAAAGGGAATGGTCCTTGCAGAAGGCACAGAGGAGTAGAAGATGTTCCAGGTGGTGGGGTCTAATTGGAGTTGGCAGGAGTGTTTGTGGATGATACATTGGATGCGGAGGCTGGTGGGGTGGAAAGTGAGGACAAAGGGGACCCAATCTTTATTATGTTTGGAGGGGGGTAGTTAAGAGCTGTGGAGCGGGGAATGGAGACAGCATGGTGGAGGACTGTCTGGATGACAGAGTGGGGAAAAAGAACATTGTTTGAAAAAGGCAGACATCTGTGATGCTTGGGAGTGGAATGTCTCCTCGTCAGAGGAAATGCAAAGGAGACGGAGGAATTGGGAAAACAGAATGGAGTTTTTGCAGGATACAGGGTGGGAGGAGGTGTAGTCTAGGAAGCTGGTTAGTTTTTAATTTACCTGCTCACCTGAATTTGGCCCCATGTGAAGCACTTCACAGCTGTATACAATGATGTTTATGTTTAGTTTTTCCATCAGCTCATTCTGTTTAGATTTGCAATCTATTCTTCATGAACTTTGTATTATCTACAAATTTAAATTTTACTTTTGATCCTGAAGATATTCAGAAAAATTGGTTCAAAACCTTATCCCTTCGCAGCCACAGAGTTACATTTTTCCTGGACACTGCAGCACTCACTGAAGTTAGTAACCTGAGATTATCTGCAAGTCTTCTGCCCATGTCTTTATTCAGACCAAGTCCCATTCTCCTATTACCCCTGTTTCACTGACTTACGTCGTCTCCTGATTAAGCAGTTACTTAATTTGAAAACTATAATCCTTGCTTTCAAATCCCTCAATGGCTTTCTTCCTCTCTATTTCTATGATATTTTCCAGCTGCACAACATTCTGAAATGTTTGTTCTGCTCTGATTCTGACCTTTTGATTATCCCTATTTTTAATTTCCCTACCATTGATGGTGGTACTATGTATTTTCAAGACCCTGAATTCTAGAATTGTCTTCCTAAACTTCTCTACCTCTTCATTCCCCTTTTAAGACGTTTCTTTGTAATGAAAGATGTGTGATTTGTATATAAAACTATAAGATATAGGAGCAGAAGGAGGCCATTCAGCCCAGCAAGTCTGCTCCACCATTCAATAAGGTCATGGTCAGAACTCACGCATGTGCTTTCTGATCTTGTCCACCCCCGTCCAACACCGGCACCTCCTCAATAAGTTCATGGTTGCTCTGATAATGCCCAACTTCATTTTCTTTCCTTTTCCCAATAACTGTCGATTTCCTTACTGGTTAAAAGGCTATGTTTTTATGATTTTTTTGAAGTTTGGATTTCAGAGTAGAAGCAGGTGAGTGTAGGTTACTTCAACAAAGTGTTCTCTTTGTAAAAAGAAAGCAGTTACAAAATCATTCTAGAACAGTGCTTTAAATCCAACATTTTGTCAGAGAGCAAGTGACTGTGCATTTCTGTGATATTAATAGGAAAATGTTTTACTTCCGAGTTTGACAGGTCAAGTAAAACCACTAGCTTTGTTACAGCTCAGAAAAATCTAGGTTGTGCAAGTTTTTTAAAAATTTAATTCAGAAGACAATGGTTGAGATTAGAAGCATGTTTAGTTTATCACCTTGAAAAATGATTCTGGGCAGAACAGTGTCTTTGACAGATTTAATGTGATTTAAGATCATTCGACCTATCTTTGATTTATTTTGGTGTAATTACACTTGCACTGTTAAGAGAATCAGTAGCCTCATATGACTGTATCTCAGTTGCTAACCAACTCATTAACAAAGTAAATTTAGAAATAGAACTATCAAGGCAGATTTCATTATGGCATCTAAATTTGAGTAGTACCATCAGCCTTTCACTAGTCTTTTACAGTGTTCTTAATCTTTCTTTATATATTGTATCACTGTAAAATGCCAGCAACAATGAAGAACAACAATATATTTCTAGGTCAGGATGGTGAGTGACTTGGAGGGGGACTCAAAGGTGATGATGTTCCCATATACCTACTGCCCTTGTCCTTCTAGATGGAAGTGATTGTGGGTTTGGAAGGTGCTGTCCAAGGATCTTTGGTGAATTTCTGCAGTGCATCTTGCAGATAGCTCACCCTGCTGCTACTGAGCATCAGTCGTGGATGGAATGGATACTTGTGGGTGCAGTGACAATCAAGCAGACTGCTTTGTCCTGGATGGTGTCAAGCTTCTTGAGTGTTTTTGGATCTGCAGTCATCGAGGCAAGTGGGCGGTATTCCATCACACTCCTGAATCCTGTCTCTTAGATAGGGGACAGGCGTTGGGGAGTCAGGAGGGTGAGTTAGTTGCCATAGTGTTTCTAGCCTCTGACTTGCTCTTGTCGCCACTGTGTTTATGTGGTGAGTCCAGTGAGTTTCTGGTCAATGATAACCTGCAGGATGTTGATAGTGGGGCTTCAGTAATGATAACACCATTGAATGTCAAGGGGCAGTGGTTAGATTGTGTCTTGTTGGTGATTGCCTGATTACATTCTGTTTTTCCAAATACTCTGCTATTACATCCTTTAAGTCTCTCAATTTTCCCAAAAATAGATGTTAAGCTAACTGACATATAGCTACTTTTTTTTGATTCCTTCCCCTTTTGATAAAGGTGTTAAATTGGCAGTTTTTCAATCCTCCAAAACTTTTCCCAAAAATCTAAGGATTCTTGCAAGATTACCACCAGCATAACCACTATGTTTGTAGCTGTTTCCTTTAATTTCTTAGGACGCATCCCATCAGCTCCTGGGGCTTATTGATCTTTAGCCCCAATGGTTTCCCTAGTACCTTTGTCTTATGATTGTTACATAAGTAGAAAATCATAATAACCTATCTCGATATTTCAACCTGTGATGCAGTTTGATGAAGGAGAGTAGTTTTTGTGGAACATTAAACACTGCTGAAAGATCGGTTTCTATGCTATTGGTACTGTGTATTGCAATCTTGTATTTTGCCTCTTTGTTATACAGTTATATGTAATATGTTGTAAATGAATTCAAGAAGAACTTGTGTGAGATTTTGTTCTGAGCCCAGGCCTCCAAATCTTCAAGCACTTTAACTTAACTGAAATTAATATCATTGTGATATGACTAGCATTTGACCTTTAATATTGTGTCATGAAAAACATTCCTTTACAGCCTGTGTTTACCGTACAAAAGGACACATTTTATCCCTTATTATTTTAAACGTATTATTTGTATCTTCCTTCTGGGATGGAAGAAAATTCTAACATGTAGAGTGCTCTGTTTTAGTTTAGTTTTCTACTCTACAATCTTCTATGACTTTGTCATACGTTTACCTACATTCGGTTCTATGACATATTTCCCATGGCATCATTTGTGGAATCAAGGCTGAGGCTGTGTTGGCTGCACAGTAGGAATGCAGTCTGAGGCCAAGGTTTGGTGGAACAAAAGTAGATATTTATTGTTAAGCATATAGCATCAGTTTAACAGCCACTACGTACTTCAGACCAGAGTAGGGAAAAGTGACTGGAAGCATGATTTGGAAAGGTTTGAGTAGGTTTTTAGAAGTAGAGACAGAAATAGCAAGATAGAGGATTTGAAGGCAAGAGTCCTTTGTCCATAAGCAAGTAACTTAGCTACATATTCCAGACCTGAGAGCATTTGGGAAGTGAAAATTTTAATGCCCTACATACTGATGGAACTATTTGATGTTTTTTGTGCAATGGCACTTTGAAATGGCATGTTTGATATGAGTGGATTTGATTTTTTTCCATTCAGGTCAGTTCAAAAGTGTGTTTTTTGTAATATTTTTATTGAAATTGTCGAGATTAAATTTGTTTATCTTCAATATCAATGAGAATACGCAGCAGTAATGGTACATTAGCTAATAGATCATGTGACTTTGAGAGATACATGTAATATACTGTGGCAAGTTCTTTCTAGATTTTCATTTATAATTATCTTGTAGAATACCGTGGAAATAAAGTGGCTCTGCATGGAAAATGCTTCCCAATTGGATTTAACAATATCTTCCATTGAGTCAGTGACATTGCTTAAATATTTCTGTTATGGAAAGTGAAATATGCATTTGCAGACAGTTACTACTGAAGTTGGAAGATTTTAACTTAAATTTGATACACTGACAAAGTTTTCACAACGCTAGGAGTATAAACTAAGTCTGCGAATAAACATAACAAATTTTGCTGCTATTTTTCTGGACTCCGTTTCCCTACCAATAGTATTATGAACATAGTATTCAAGGCTGTGCACATAACTCCATGTGGGGGGCTAATGAGGCTTTGCCTCTCTTCCCAATTTTTAATATACTAAAAGTAATCTTAAAAACAATATGTTCTAGTGAGAAGTCATATATAATAAATACGTTGTATGATAGAATCATACTAGAATAGTTTATCTAGTGCAAAAGGACAGTGCTGAAGATGGTGGAAATCCGAAGCAGAAGCTAGAAAATGTTGAAGCCCTGAAGGTCAGAAGTCACATGACAACAGGTTTATTTGAAATCACAAGCTTTTGGAGTTCTGCTCCTTTGTCAGGTGAAGTGAAGAGAAGCACATGGGCACAGAATTTATAAGCAGAGATGTCAAAAAATCATACAAATGGTGTGAGCGGGGTGTCGATAGGCTGAATAATAAGTCTCTGCAGGTGATCAAAAGTGTCAGACATTGTGAGGAAAGTGTCAACAGCTGAACAGCAAGTGAAGGGATGACCTATAATCCGATTAATTGAGGCAGATAAATAATTACAGAAAAATTAAAAATAAGGTGGTGCTGGAGAGAAACCAAATGGCTGGACTAACATAATAAGTATAAGAGTTGCATGCCATTTAGCCCATCAAGCCCACACTGACCCTCTGAAGAGTATCGCACTCAGACCCACGTACCGCCTCCCCTAACTTGACCCACCCACCATCCAAACGAAATGGCTGGAATAATGCGATAGGTATAAGAGTTGCATGCCAAGGGTGTAACCATAGTAACAAGTAATTCAAAACTGTACAAACTAATTAAGGTAAGCGACCTTTGAGTTACACAACAGCGCAGAATCATGGAGCAGAAACTGATAGCCAAGTTCCATACCCATGAAGATGGCCTCAACCATGACCTTGTGTTCATGTGACACTACATGTAACCCCATCATACTGTTCTGTATTTGTAAAATCTTCCTTATTGTCCTGTTTTGACACCATCACCTTGATAACTTATTATGATCTCTCTGCCTTAATTAGTTAGGATGGGTCAGGGTGGGATACTCTTCAGAAGGTTGGTGGAGGCTTGATGGGCCAAATGGCCTTCTTCCACACTGTAGGGATTCTATGATTCTTCAGTTTTTGAAAAAAACTGATAGAAAAATGAGAATATGAACATTTGGTCAGTATTGATTCACAAGTTACCTGCACCTGTTTAAACAGAACTTCCTCTCGTCTGCCTGAAGGCAGTTCTTTGCTGTTATTCACTGAACCATTGAATAGTGTCAAGAATTTTTACTGGAGGCAGGCCTCAAGTCTGCTTCAACCAGAGTGGGATTTGAACCCCTGCACTGTCAGCGTTGATCTGACGCACGTGCTAACTGTTCTACCCAACTGCACCTGCTTCCTCAAGTAACTATCCTCATCTTACTTAGTGACATGACATCAGAAAATGAAAGGCCAATGTTGAAAAGACATAAGAAAAGATAAAGAATGATGAAATGGCAAATAGATGACTTCAAGATTGGAAAGGAAAGAAAAGCCGAGAGCTGAAGTTTTAGGAAAGACTAATGTTAATATTTAGGGGTACTAAAGCGTCCTTAAAGGCACAGTCTACAGAGCAAGCGTGATTATTTATCAAACCAAGGCTATATAGGTATTCAGCTATTTAGGAATGCTTGAGTTCTGAAAACGGTGTTGCTAACTTTGAAGCATCATTCATTCATTTTCTTGTTCCTGCATCTCCATCCCAGACATAAAAGACTTGAGTCTAATATTGTCATATACTCCGATTAATTTTTCAAAATATTATTTCTTATATTTTAGGGTATGACATTGGACGAATTCAATAAACTGGACTTTGACATGATCCTAATGAGTCCTCCTTGCCAGCCATTCACAAGGTGTGTATTTACAAAAAAAAATTACATAAGAATTAATTCTATATGAGATACCTTGGCAAATTTCTGATGATGAGGTGAAATGTTATATAATTAAAAAGTTGAGATAAGAGGCTCAGATATAATCATGTTTAACGTTTAATGATGAAATGGTCCAATGGGCCAAATGGTCTACTACTTTTTTTATGTTTTGAAGTATTTTTCAGTTTGATTTTTAAACAGTAAAGTTTTAACCTTGTGTATCTTTACTGAAATCTTTTAAGTAAATCTTTACAACACAAGTATTGGTTTAAATACAGAAAACATTGGAAACACTCAGCAGATCAGGTGTCATCTGTGTTGAGGGAATAAAATGGTTATATTTCAGGCATGTTTCTGCCCTTGTAGGACCGTAATCATGTGGAAGACACAAAGATGGACAATTAAGTGCCTGATTGCAATTAAATGGCGTCTAGCCTTTCACACAGGAGCAACATGGGATTCATGTGTGACACGTGTGGGATCCACATCACTGGAACTAAATTCCACTCATAGTTTGTTTCTTAAATACAAAAAAGTCCAGGTCCACAGTACAGAAAGTGAATTTCACTTGTCATTTAAATCCTGGAGTGCTTTACCTGTTTTTTTTTTGAAATACCCTTTCAAATTGAGTAAATTTTATTATCTAGGTAAAAGATAATTGTATCATAATCTGAGAAGTTGAACAGCTATATTACTGCAGAACTGTACCTTGGCTAAAAAGTACAATAGGACTTTTTAAAATAATTTTATTTGAATGCAGAATTAGAAAAGCAATAGTAAAAGAGCTGAACTTGAGTTGCTTTGAGCATGCCTTTCATATTAAGGCAGCATTTGAGTATGGTATCAAGGAGCTAAAGCAAAATTGAAGTCATTGGGAATTGGGGAGAAAAACTCTCCATAGGTTGGAACCACACTTAGTACAAAATAAGATGGTTGTGCTTGTTGGCAATCAGTCATCTAAGTTCCAGACTGTTTCTGTAGAAGTTCCTCAGGATACAACCATCTTCAGCTCCTTCACCAATAACCTTCCTCCCTCATGAGGTCAGAAGTTGGAATATTCACTACTGTCTTAATTATTATATGCAGTATATTTAATGACTCCTCAGATGCTGAGATAATCCAAACACAGCAAAACATGGACAATATTCAGGAGATGAACTGATAAGTACAAGTAACATTTGCTCCTACAAGTCTCCAGGCAATGATCATCGCCAATAAAAGAGAATCTAATCATTTACCACTGACGTTCAGTAGGATTCTATTCATTGAATCCCCAGCTACCAACATCCTGCGGGTTGCCATTGATCAGGAACTGAACTATACCTGCCGTATTGTGATAAAGTCCCCGATGTTTTCTGTCAATTTGTGCGGTAGAAGCCATTAATATCTGAAAATTGTAGCATTCAGGAAACAGAGCGTTCCAAGGATATTCAAATTTCACTGCTGCTTGCTATATTTGATTATGTCCAGTAATAGGGGCAGGGTTTGTTGCAAGTTTTTCAGTAGGGAAATCAAAACAATTGAAGTGTCATTGAAGGACATTTCAAGTGACAAACAGTTGAAGACAGTCAAAGTGAGAAATGCAGAAGCAGAAAAGAGTTGATGAGCTATTCTTCTCCAGAGGCTGAATATTTGGAACTCAGTGAAAATGTCCAAGAGTAGCAAGTAACTGGACTCGAGGTATTTGGACATTTCTGCAGATTGGAAGAAATTCAGGAAGCTCTTCCAGTACTGTTGGAATACGGGTATCTGAGGTTGTTGATTTGTTTGCCGAGCTGGTAGGTTAGTTTGTAGACGTTTTGTCACCATACTAGGTAACATCATCAGTGCGCCTCCGATGAAGCATTGTTGGTCTCTCCCGCTTGTCATTTATGTGATCCAGTCTGATGTAGTGTTTGGCTTCATTTCCAGTTCTGCTTCATAGTGGTTGCTATTCACCTTATATATGTCCCTCATGATTTTATAAACTTCTGTAAGGTCACCCTTCAGCTTCCTATGCTCCAAGTAAAAAAATTCCAGCCTATCCAGCCTCCATATAACCCAAACCCTCCAGTCTTGGTAACGTCCTTGTAGATTTTTTTTGCACCCTTTCCAGTTTAAGAAAATCATTCCTATTACAGGGTGACCAGAATTGTATGCAGTACTCCAAATGTGGCCTTACCAATGTCTTGTACAGCCCTAACATGACATCCAACTTCTGTACTCAATGCTCTGACTGATGAAGGCAAGCATGCTAAACGCCTTATTCATCACTCTGTCTAACTGTGACACTACTTTCAAGGAACTGTGTACATGCACCACTAGATCTCTGATCAACAACACTTGCCAGGGTCCTACCATTAACTGTATAAATCCCGCCCTGGTTTGTCTTATCAAAATGCAACACCTTGCATTTATCCAAATTAAACTCCATTCCTCAGCTATTTGGCATAGTTGGTCAAGATTCCATTGTACTCTCAGATAACCTTCTTCACTATCTACTATACCACTAATGTTTAGTCATCTGCAAACTTAATAACCATGCTTCCAATATTCTCATCCAGTTGTTTCTTTAAATGACAAACAACAATGACCCAGCACTGACCGCACAGTCATACAGCATGGAAACTGACGCTTTGGTCCAACTAGTCCACGTCGACCATTTTCCCAATCTGAACTAGTCCCACTTGCTTGCATTTGGCCCATATCCCTCCAAACTTTTCCTACCCGTGTACTTATCCAAATGTCTTTTAAATGTTGTAACTGTACCTGCATCCACCACTTCCTTTGGCAGTTCATTCCACACACGAACCGCTCCCTGTTTAAAAAAAAAAAGTTGCCCCATGTCTTTTTTAAAAATCTTTCTCCTCTCTCCTTTAAAATCATGCCCCTTAGTTTTGAAATTCCCCACCCTGTTGTTTTTGTTGTTGTAGAGAAAAGACTGTTGCTATCCGTCTTATATATACCCCTCATGATTTTATAAACCTCAATAAGGTCACACCTCAACTCCTCTGCTCCAGTGAAAAATGTTCCAGCCTATTTTTATAACTCAAACCCTGGTATATATTTCCTAGCATATATTTTCTGAATCCGCACCAACTTAATAACATCCTTCCTATTGCAGGGCGACCAGAACTGCACACAGTACTGCAGAAATGGCCTCAATGTCATGTGCAACCTCAACATGACAGCCCAACTCCTATACTCAAAAGGTCTGAGCACTGAAGGCAAGCAGTTAAAAGCCTTGTAAATCACCCTATCTACTAGTGACACAAATTTCAAAGAATAATGTACCTCAACCCCTATATCTCTCTGTTCTACAACACTACCCATTCTTGCAGCATACCACTGGTACAGGTCTCCAGTCTGAACAACAGTCCTCTACCACCACCCTTTGTCTCCTACTATCAAGCTAATTTTGTATCCAATTGGTTAGCTCTCCCTAGATCCCCTGTGTTCCAACTTTACAAACTAGTCTACCATGCAGATCCTTCTCGAAGGTGTTATTTTTAATGTCTTTGTAGACAACATCTACCACTTTGCCTTCATCTATCTTCTTGGGCACCTCTTCAAAAAACTCAATCAAGGTTGTGACATCAAAGAACATTTGACAATTCACTTTGACTGAATATACAGGATGATTTTTTTAACCTCTAGTAGATAATGTGTGGAATCCCGGCTTAATTTTGGAGAGTTTCGACCATATATTAATAAAGCAGCTTCTATTGTTGTTGGCATTGACGTGACTGAAAACAAAATTTTATTTCACATCAATACATTCAGGTAACATGGAAAGGTATTCAAATGACTCTCTTTGAGACAATTTGAGTGCTTATTGATTTATACTTCCAAGCTTTTAGGGTATTGTGGCATTGTATCATTTTGTAGTTGTTTCAATTTCTTCAGATAAGCAATTTTGTTAGCAATATATAATAAAGATTCTTTTAATAATAACAAAACAACACATAGCAAATGTCTCCTCATTATTAATTCTGTTCACCAAATGATATAGATGATTAGCCTTTACTTCATTCTTTTTTCTTAGGAACAGTTAAGGAAACCTAATTGTGCCTGTTTATTTTTAAAACAGAATAGGTTCACAGAAAGATGTATTGGATCCCAGGACCAAGAGCCTTTTGCACATCCTTGACATTCTTCCAAGGTCTGGAAAATACTATCAAGCATATGTGTATTTAATGGTAAACTAGTAGAACATTTTGAAAGATGTAAGGCAGAAAATGTTTTGAATAAAAAAAGTCTTGAATAAAAGCAAAACATACTAGAAATTTACAAGAGGTTAGGTAGCTTTTGAAAGTAAAAAGGTTAACTAACCTTCCAGTGAGGTGAAGTCAGAGCATTCAAATGTTAAGCAAATCTTAATTGCAGTTTTCTATCACGGTTTTTTAAATTCGAAATTCAGGCATAATATAGAATAAATGTATTTCATTTAAGTGAATTCTCCCAGTAGCAGAATTTTCCCTTTCCGTTATGTCATGGGGAAGGTGGCAGAACGGACAAGTAAGCAAACTGGTTGGCACTGGATGGCTACCTTTCCCTTTCCTGTAACCTGAGCAGTTAAGTTCTGGGTGGAAAAATCTGTTAATGATCTTTTCAATCTGTTTCTAATTACATTAAATGGGCAATTAACAGCGCACAAAGGACTGAATATCCGCCTTCCCAACTTCCTGACTCCCTTTCTGATAGGCAACTAGTCCTGCTTTCCCATTCAAGTTTTATAGAGAGGAGCCTCCATTTGCCTCAATTTGGAAACAACTGGAGTCACAGATAGAGAATGGGTGGTGTCCATTGAGAGCCCCACCCCCACCCGCTGACCCCGGTCCCTAGTCCCAGTGACTCCCATCTCACAGTCTACATCTCCTCTTCCCCTCCCAAAAAATAAAAAAGCTGTATTTACCTGCTGGTCTCCATCATTATCATAGAATCCCAACAGTGTGGGAACAGGCCATTCGGCCCAACAGGTCCACACTGCCCCTTCAAAGACTATCCCACCCAGACCCATTCCCCTAACCCTGCATTTCCCATGTCTAACACACCTAACCTAAACATCCCTGGGCACTATGGGCAATTTAGCATGGCCAGTCTACCTACCCTGCACATCTTTGGACTGAGAGAGGAAACCGGACCACCCGGAGTAAACCCACGCAGACACGGGGAGAATGTCTGTGTGGAGTTTGCACAGTCGCCTGAGGCTGGAATCAAACTTGGGTCCCTGGCGCTGTGAGGCAGCAGGGCTAACCACTGAGCCACCGTGCCACCCCATACAGAGAAATCCCCCAGCTGCATCGGCACGGTACATTTGCTCGGTATGAATAATCTTGAGCCCAAAAGCCGAGCCGGGTAAAACCAGTGCTTCAGGTGAGGATGGAATTCACAACCTCGACATAGCCCACTGCCTGCACTGCTCTGTAAGTACCACGTGCTAACCGATTGTGCCACTGGAGCCATGTATGTTTCCTCTTCAGCAAATTGGTACTGTATTAAATACCCGCTGACCTCAATTGGCCAGCAGCGTCAAGCTGTGCAAGACTTGTCACCGTGTGACCTGATTAGATGAGTAGCCTGCCGACTAACACTTAAATTCCCTATTCACATTTGATCCAGTGGGCTTTCTCGCTGCTTTGGGCAGATAGGCTCTCATTTTTAAAGATGATCACCCCCACACTTTATCTAGTAAAGGGAAAATCCTGGGTCAGCCAACCAGAAGATTTCCAAGCAGTTTACTGTGCTTGTTGAAAGGATAAACTGATTATGAAAATAGAATGAAATATACGTTTAGGAAATATATTGCTGAAATCAAATGCATTGATAAAATAGAAACTGAAGTGTTTCGTCTAACTGCTTTTAAAATAATTTTAGATTTCAGCAGGTGTTAATCAGAATAATCAATGTTTTGCAAAAATGCAAATTAAGAACAGGAGCCACTGAAGCCTGCTCAGCCATTCAGCAAGATCATGGTTGGTAGGATTACTCTATGTCCTGGCTACCTTCAATAACCTTTAACCTCCTTGCTTATAAAGAAATTATCTCCCTTGGTCTTAGAAATACTTGAGAGCTCTGCTTCTACCATCTTTTGAGCAAGACATTTTTAACGACTGGTGACCTTCTGAGAAAAACATTCTCTTCATCTTTCTTAAATGGCAACACCTTATTTTTAAATGATGATTCTTTGATGAGAAGAAGCTTCCTTCCTATCTACCCTGTCAAGAGCCATTGGGATCTTGCATGTTTCAAATTGTATAACTTACCAGCGCTTGGCCCATAGCCTTGAATGTTATGACGTGCCAAGTGCTCATTCCAGGTACTGATTAAATAATGTGAGGCAACGCAACTTTACCACCCTCTCAGGCAACACATTCCAGACCATCACCACCCTCTGAGTAAAAAAAGAGTTTTTAATCACCCCTCCCCCCCAGCCAAAACCTCTTGCCCCTCACTTTGAACCCATATCCCCCTTGTGGCTGGCTGTTCAGCTGAGGGGAACCGCTGCTCCTTATCCACTCTGTCCATGCCCCTCATCATCTTGTACACCTCAATCGGATTGCCCTCTGACAAAGCCATGTTGACTATTCCTGATCAAGTGTTGCCTCTCCAAGTGCAGATAGATACTTGCCTTCAGAATTTTTTCTAATCATCTCCCTACCACTGACATGGGACTTCCTCGTCTGTAGATCTCAGGGCTATCTCTACAATCCTTCTTAAATATTGGAACCACAATATCTGTTTTCCAGTCCTCTTCACCTTGCCTCCCACAGCAGCCTGGGCCACAATTCATCCAGACCTGGAGATTTGTCCATCTTTATGCCTGTCAGCATCTCCAATGCCTTGTCCTTCCCTTTGACAATTTGTTCAAGCACCTCGCAGTCTCTCCCCCTAGGTTCTATACCTTCATCTTGCGTACCTGCTAAAAGCCTCTATTTTGCTTCTCATCATATCCTTAATATCTCTGGTCATCCATGGTTCTCTGGACTTATTACTACTTCTGATCACACTAGAGGGAACATGTTGGACTTGTACCCTCCCCATTTCCCTTTTGAATGTCTCCTACTGCTTTTCTATAGATTTCCCCACTATTAGATATTCCCAGTCTACCTTGGCCAGATCCTGCCTTATATTCCTAAGACCCACTCTTCCCCAATCCAAAATATTTCTTTTTTACAACTTGTTTATTTCTTTTTCCATAATAAGTTTAAATTGTACCATGTTGTGATCGCTATTACTAAAGTACTCCCTCACCACCATCTCAGACATCTGTCTTGCTTCATTCCCCTGAATTAGGTCCAGAACAGCTCCATTGCTTGTTGGGCCCTCTACATATTGGCCTAAAAAGTTCTCTTGTACACATTTCAAGAAATCCACTCCATCCAAACTCGTGATACTGTGTCTATCCCAGTTAATGTTGGGAAAGTTGAAATCATTGACTATAATTACCCTTCTGTTATTCTTGCATACCTCCTTGAATTGTGCACAAGTTTGCTCTTTAATTTCACGCTGACTGTCTGCAGTATATAACAAACAGTGAGCAATGTGACTGCCCCTTTTTTTTAACTCTTAAGCTCTACTGACAAAGCTTCATTTGATGCCCCTCCAAGATATCATCTCTGTGTACTACAGTAACTGTCTCCTTAACTAATAATGCAATGCCACCGCCTCCTCTTACCACCACCCCCCCGCCCCCCCTCCCCCCCCCACCTCCCCCGTCTCGCTAGAAGATTCTATATCCTGGAATGTTGAATTGCCAATCTTGCCCCTCCCTCACTAAAATCTGTGATGGCTACTATATCATAATTCCATGTGTCAATCATTGCCCTTATCTCAAAATTGCTTCTTACATTTCTGAAGTCCACTGGCATAACCATTCCTCCTAAGTCAAAATGTCTAGTCTAGTTTATGAAAATCACTGTCAAAATAAGCTTTACAGGAAATGAATGTGAAACAAATATAAAGTTTTCCTGATTTTTTGGTAGTTGTCTGAGCTCTTAAAAATGGCTGTGCGTTTCTGAGAGGGTCATACAGTTGATTGGTTGAAAAAGAACCAAAGCAAAAAAATGCTGGAGAAATTCAGCAACTCTAGCAGCATTTGTGGAGAAAGGAAAATAATTAATGTCTCGAGTCCAGTATGATTCTTCTGCAGAACTTCTTGAGAAGAAGAGATATGTTGGACTCAAAAAATTAGCTGTTTCTGTCTCCATAAATGCTGCCAGAACTGCTGAGTTTTCCTTGCATTTTCTGTTTTTATTTCAGATTTTCAGTATCCACTGCATTTTTGCTTTTATTTGAAGAAAAGATGTAAATTTTTGTTTTCTCATTTCTTAGCAAGATATAATCGTACAGAAGAAATGATACAGTCGGACTCTTTTGTACAAAGGTTTATATAATAATTTGCTCTAAAATTTGTATTTTTACATTATGGAAATGAAAGCCAAAATATAATTTCAAAAGTTATGTCGATTTTTGTGTTTATCTTCCCAGGCTTTCCAAAGCCCCTAAATATATTCTTCTAGAAAACGTCAAAGGATTTGAATCATCTGTTGCTAGGTATGAAAGCCAAAATATAATTTGTTGCATGAAACAGGCTGCTTAACTTCATACTGTAAGATTTTTCAGACAGTAATGATGCGAAGAGATTGCATGGTGTTGATTTTACATCTCGTGTGTATTTATGATATATTCTGGATTAAAAACCTATTCTAGATTAAAGTCATATCACAGGGTATAGATCACTAGCCACTTGATGCCCAATTATAAGTGTATCTAAAAGAATGCTCCAGAATGATGTACTGCAATGATGCAAAGTATTTAATACTAAAGTACGACAATGAGTTATATTATTTTATGCAACAGAAATGTTGTATTTATTGGTAATAATTGTTTTGATGCATTTTGCTGATGAGTAAACATAGGCTCCTTAGAAAATGAATCTGGGGAGATGGTTTTGGGAAACAAGAAAATGGCAGAGGAGTTAAACCTATTTTATATCAGCCTTTACACTGAAAGATACTGTGAACATTCCTTTAATACTCAAGAATACGAGGGAAGAACTCAGTACCATCACCATCAATAGTGTTATTCAAATTAATGGGGCTAAATGCAATAAGTCCCCTGGCTCTGATGGCTTGCATCCTAGGATCCTAAAAGAGTAGCGACAGAGATCTTAAATGCATTGGTTGTAATTTCCGAAAAATCAATGGATTCTGGAGAAGTACCAGAGGATTGGAAAGCTGTTAATGGGACACCCTATTCAAAAAGGGAGGGAGGCAAAAAGTGGATAACTGTAGGCTGATTAGCCTAACATCTATTGTTAGAAAAGTATTGGAATCAATTAACAAGAAAGTAATAGCAGAACATGTGGAAAATCATAATCTAAGCTAGCAGAGTCACCATGGCTCATGAAAGGGAAATTGTGTCTGACTATTTTATTAGAGTTTTTCGAAGAAGTCTCGACCAGAGTGGATAGAGGGGAACCACTAGATGTGTTGTATTTGGACTTCCAGAAAGTGTTTGACAAAGTATCTCACAAAAGGTTAAATCATAAGATAAGAGACCACAGTGTTGGAGGTAGTATATTGGCATAGATAAAGAGTTGGCTAATGGGCTGGAACCTGAGAGTGGTGATGAGGGACTTTTTTTTTCAGGTTGGTTACTCGTGACCAGTGGAGTTCCACAGAGATTAGTGCTGGAACCACAGCTGTTTACAATATATATTAATGACTTGGAGGAACAAAGTGAATGGACTGTACCCAAATTTGTAGATGACATAAAAATTGGTGGAAAGGCAGGTGCGCAAAGGAAACAAAGTTTACAGAGAGATATTAATCAGTTAAGAAAGTGGGCAAAAACTTGGTAAACGGAGTATAATGTGGGAAAATGTGAAGTATTACATTTTGGAAGGGAGAACAAAAGAACAGAATATGGTTTAAATGGAGAAAAATTTCAGAAAGCTGCAACACAAAGGGACTCAGGGTACTTGAGTGTATTTACCGTGGAAAAAGACATACAAGTTAGGCAAGTGAGGGAAATAAATATTGATGTCTTGAAAACAGTCCTCATTACAGAAGAGGAGGTGCTGCAGGTCTTAAAAAGTACAAAGGTAGATAAATCTCTGGGAGCGGGAGAGTTGACCCTGATGAAGGATTCCCACTGAAACGTCGACACTCCTGCTCCCCTGATGCTGCCTGACCTGTTGTGTTCCTCCAGCTCCACACTGACTCTGACTCCAGCATCTGCAGTTCTTGCTATCTCCGATAAATCTCTGGGACCTGCTGAAGTTGATGTTCTGGAGTTCAACCAGTTATCAACACCTCCCCATAAGACCCAGGGTGGGGGTGGGTTGTGCTGCTGTGACTTGTGTAGGTTAGCACCAATATCTAAGTGGAGTGAAAAGATGAGTTATGACCTTTTGTGTGTGCCCCCTTCATGAAGAAGCTGCTGTTTACATCTAGCATTCTGTTTTGTCTTTATTTGGACCTTTTAAATCAATGTGGCTAGTTAGTTCGTGGATTGATAAAATAATTGACTTAACAACGTACTTTGCAGCTCAAAAGAGGGCTGGTGTTAGGTTTGGTTTAAAAAAGTACTCAGTGAGTGGAATTTCCATTGTATTGCATGAAATGTTGGTTTCTGCCTCTCACACCCATTAATATTACTCATTGACTTCAATGTGAAGTGAAGTCGCAGCAAAAATTCAAAGCAGTGTTACACCCTGCATCTGTCAGTTTCCTGGTGAGAGGGCTAGAAAGAAAGACTTGCATTTATATAGTGCCTTTGCAACCAAATGATGTCCCAAAATGTTTTACAGGAAGGAATTAGCTTTGAAGTGCGGTTGCTGTTGTTTGGGTTGTCCCAGTCCGTCTGTTCTTCAATAGCCAAGGAGATGCTAATTTATCACCTGTTCCATTTTAAAAAACAAAAGCCTGGGAACTATAGGCTGGTGAGTCTGAAGTCAGTAGTGGGTAAACTGTTGGAGGAAATTCTGAGAGACAGAATTAACATACACTTGGAGAGGCAAGATCTAATTAGGGATAGTCAACATGACTCAACATGTGGGAAATCGTGGTCTCATAAACCAAAATGCACATATTTCTATATCCTTGATGTGTGCAATTGTCACTGAACCAGTAATAGCCATCATTGGGCTTACAATTTCCCATAGACTCTATGAATTTTTACACTGGATGTTGCAATTATTAGAAACAAAATTAACACAATACCATCTACAGGAGAATAACTTAGCAGCCTCAGGAATGCCACCAGGGCTAATGACCATCACTGGGCTGCACCTAGAGGAGGAGGGTGCATTGATGGACCCATTCCTTTATATAAAGTAAGTGAGATCAAGGGGCACTTGGGCTAGGCAGTAGATGGAAGCCTAAGTGATGGGCTGTGGCTTAGGAAGAATCATTGAGGTAGGTAGTCTATTTATTTACAGTATGGAATGCTTAGGCACATTAGAAACTACATATATTAATATATAAGATCCTGCTTTTTGCAGACAGCAAGAACATGTACACATATCGTGCCTGGTTCAACGTAACACGTAATGGCTGTTTCCTGGCTCATTTCTCGGGGGAATGCTTGACAAATCGGAGGCAACCTGCCTGGTTTAAATTTAAACAAATTTTGCACTTAACTGTAATCATCTAATCAGTGCATTCTTCATGGCAATGCCTCTGGCATTGAGAGGCCACTTGCCAACCAATCAGTGCGGTCTTTTTCATACAAAAATGTTTTGTTTCTCTTTACATTATTATTTCTTATGAATTGCCCTGATGAATGCAAGACAAAAAGCAGCAACAAAATGTGTCTTCTACCAAAACTCTAGTTTCTTGATTCATGTCACTGGAAGTTACTGTGACAATGCTGTTGGCACAAAAACTAGGCTATAATGTTTAAACAAACATAGAAACTGTTTCTGATTATAAATTTTGCTTCTGATATTGATTCAATTAGGTTTAACTCCTGTCACACGGAACTATTCCCTAAAATCTGTAAATAATTGGATGAACTGAATCGAGAATCAGGTTTGACATTGTGGTTTCACATTAAGAACTAGTTTCAGATCCAGCCCAAACATAGGCAAATCGCTTCTCTGATTGCTGAATGTCGTGGCCCAAAATGAAATCAGTTTGGCATAAATCAAATAAATGCAGCAGGGTTGCTATACAAGTGACAGTTTTTGTGATGGAGTTTTGATTCCATTAATAGGAATAAATGTGCACAGCACCTCCTTCCCAAACTGCAGAATTTAAAGAGTACATGGAAGAGAAGTCACATTTCTCCTTGAGAGGTACTGGAATGCACTGGGGAGAAGATTTATTTCTACATGGGTGCAGTGGAATAGAGTGGATGACCACCCTCCTGTTCATTCTTTTGACTTTTCTGCCTTCAAGTATCTTAAATCCTTCCTGCCTCAGCTAAGTGTATTTGCAAGCTCCCTCTGAACAGAGAATTTACTGTGACAAACCAATAAATGCATTTAGTTGTCCAGCCCTTGCACTTTCTCACTCATTGCAGTAACGAGGTGTCTTTGTCTTATAAGTCCCCAATTGTCCTCCTCACCTCCCTTTTCTTTGCCCCTTTGTTCCTCCCTTCTGTCCTCCTCCTCTATCTCAACTCACTTCTCATCCACTGTCAATTTCATGCTTTCATCTTGCCCCTATCACTCAGTTCTCCACTAGATTAGATTTAGATTTATTATCACATGTTTAGATTTATTATCACATAACATCGATTTAAATTTTTCTCAGTTTCAACCCTGTGACTCTACTTATACATAATACTATTCTTGAGTGTGACTCCTCTTGCCTTGGGGATTCAACTAGTTATTAGTTATTAATATAACTATAAGCTCGCGATATGATTTCTTGTCCTAGCACAGATGAAATGCAGGACTGACTGCATGAGAGTTGAAGAACACAAAGTGCATATTCTTGGTATAATCTCCAAACTGACTTCAAAAGTGCTGAAACTGAGAGCATTTTATTTGTAGTTTTAAAAAAATTATGTGATATGTCAATACTGTACTGGTTTGGGAATGCAGTGATAATTGTGTAACTGGAGCAAATAGTGTTAGGAGTGGAAATATTTTGTCATTGAGGCAGGTGAACAGCGTTTGGTTAGCATCCTTCTGCATTTCCGGTGATTTATCTATAGATTATAAAAGGTGACGGAGCACATAATCAGCGTTAAACTGAATTTATACAATAGTGTGCCCGTGTTTTATTTGATAAAAGACAGAGTTTTTGGCCACAAATCTACCACATCTGGTGTGGGTCCAAAGTTTATATGTTTCTAAAATGTATTTACAATACTTTTCAGATTAGGCAGAGTCCAAACACAGTGCAGTGTCTTTGTGCATAGTTCAATGAAAATGTGTGCATCAGTACAAAAGATATATAGCATAATATTTATCCAATTCCTCATTTTTCCATCCTGTGCTTAAGAAAAAAGGGATTGTTTTGTATCATTAGGGAAAAACCGACAGCTCCTTTTAAACTTTGGCAATTCGGTGTGATTTCTCCATCCCTTGCCCTCCCCTTCCAGAGATCTTGTCAATTCACCTCTCTGTGATAAAACCTCAGTTCTGGTTCCTTTTCCTAGAAACATATAATTTATAAGTTTTATTTTCCAACAAGAAGCATTTTAATTGTCAGTGCATCTTGTGACTGTTGGATTGCTTTCTCAGTAGTTGCTTAAATTGGCTTTAATAACGGTGCATTTTTAATAATAGTCAATTTCTTTTATTCTAAGTTTTCCCTTTATTTTAAAATGTGGGCCTTGCTTTCTTGGTGCGTATTTCTATTGGATATATTGGCTTTTGGAGTTTCCTGTTCCCAATTTTTTTCTCCAGATTTTACTGTACAGTTTGTTGCCAGTTACTATCAGCAGCTGGTTTCCATCGATGCTCTGGATGCTGCAGGCTAAAAGTAAACAAAAATCAATGTGACCCATCTGGACTCTTCCATGGCTGGACTGTTCTTAACTCTGTAATACGCTTGGTGCTAGTGCTGGCAAAGTTGAAAAGTATTCATCTTACATCTTGGTGAAAAAGTCACTAAAAGATACATGATCTTAAAAATATTAAGTCATAAAAGTTTGAATGTAGACTGTGCACAATAAAATGATTTTTGTCTTATGAAGAATCTGCAAGCATTTCAGTTCTTGGTACATTAATAGCAGAGAAGATTAAAATAAAGAGTACAAAAAGTATTTAATCAGTTTTTAATGTACTAGGAATGGTCTATCAAATTTGATTTCTCCTCTATCCATCTTTTTGTTTCGTAAATCATTAAAGACTCATAGCTGGAATATATTCTACAGCTGTTGATTACTGTTGAAAATACATGTCTAGCTTTTCAATTTTAACTAGTTTTGTGTTTTTTTTAAATAAATTCAAGAGTTGCAGTTAGTTGGATTCTTAGGTGTGTTTTAAAGCTTTAACTGTAATTGAAATATATAACAAATATGATAAGTATTTTCAATGTGTTTCTGAACAGAGATAAATTAATACAAGCACTGGAGAGCTGCAGATATATTTACCAGGAATTCCTTCTATCACCAATCTTGGTATGTAGACAAGCCAATTAATTGGATGGAATTTGATCCTTTATTTAAAAATTCACTTCAACAGTTAAAAAATGCTTTCTATTTTCTTTTCCAAGATGACATTCTGATGTAAGCAAAAGAAGTATTTCCGGATTGCCAGATCAGTTTGGTTGCCTCAATAAGTGCGATTTATAGAAATACCTGTTTTTTGGCATGAGCTTGTGCTTCCACTGAAGCAGCTCACCCTCTAGGAGAGCACGTGGGAGATTTGAGCATGCGGGTAGCACCTGATTTTCTAACAGTATGGAAATACTTGATAAATTGTTTGTGCTCACAGGGTTCCAATTCAGATTATATACTAAGTTATAACACCTTGGCTTTATCTTTACTTAAATTGAACGCCTTCTTCATTTGCAATATTATATATCATGCGATGGCCTCCAGGGCATTGGAGCACCCTGTCATATTTCCTAGTTATCACTATAAAGTAATTAAATGTACAATGAGACTGCCTTTTTATAACCACTTTTCTTTAAGATAAAAACTAATAAACCCATTTTCATCTCAGGCAAATTTAAGTGTGGAAATATGTGTCCAGTGTTGAAAATTTTAAAACAAAATTGCCAGTTGTTTGCCCAATTTGTATTACTAGCTTGACAAAATATTTACAAATATATTTCAGTACAAATTCCGATAAGTCAGAAAATATTAAAGTAACCTGCATCATGTTTCTTGCTGATATTTACTGCTTTTGATTGGAGAATTGCTGACGGAAGCCTGCCTCAACTATTTGTTATTGTAGAAAGAAGAGTGTCACTTAAAATTCTATAACTTAGTTATTTTACTAAGCTGCATTTTATAAACATGAAATAAACAATGAAATGTCTATTACGCTATGCTCATGATAATTTTGTGGGAAAGTTTGCAGTCTGCCATACTCAACAGAGTTCCTTCGTAAGTTTTCAAGGCAAATGCTGAAATTGTTGCAAATATTCATAATATTCACATAGGAACTGTTACTAAATATATCAGGCCTGGCAACTGACCACCATATGATAAACATTCCTAAACAAATTATTCTCTAGTAGATAGCAAAGGTTTTGCGATAAAAGTATTTAAAGGGCTAGTCAAACCAGACAAATTAGCAGTGTTTGTGCCTTCTAAGTCTACTCGCTAACTCTTTGTGATTGTTCCACAACTGAATTTTGATTTACTGATCTTTTACTATTGTTGAATTTCTCTGAAAATCATTTTATTGCAATCATGAATAGTCTGGTCAATCTGCCTGTGGACAAGTCAAACAATTTAGAAGACGGGGGAAGGCAGGGGCAGCTTAGAGAAGAGGGAAGAGGAGGGCGTTGAGCAGGAGATCATATTCTCAATGTGTCTTTGGGGAAATGTCCTCTGGACTTCTCCAATGCTAGCACACCCTTGCTTCAAGACGGGGCCCAAAACTGCTCTCAATATTCCAAATGTGATGTGACAAGTGCCTTATACAGCCTCAGCAGTATATCTCTGCTCTTGTATTCTAACCATCTTGAAATGGGGAGGTGATGGCCTAGTGGTATCATCGCTGGACTGTTAATCCAGAGACCCAGACAGTGTCCTGGTGACCTGGGTTCGAATCCCACCATGGCAGATGGTGGAATTTGAATTCAATAAATATCTGGAGTTAAGAGTCTAGTGACGACCGTGAATCCATTGCTGATTGTCAGGAAAAACCCATCTGGCTCACTGATCCCCTTCAGGGAAGGAAGCTGCCATCCTTACATGGTCTGGCCAACATGTGACTCCAGACCCACAGCAATGTGGTTGACTCTTAACTGCCTTCTGGGCAATTAAATGCTGCCTAGCCAGCGATGCCCTCATCCCATGAATGAATAAAGGAAAAAAAATGAATGCTCGCACTGCAGCTTCCTTCCTAATCGCCAAATGAACCTGCAAATTAACATTAAGAGAATCCTAAACTAGGACTCCTAAGTGTCTCTCCCCATTTAGAAAATAGTCTGTATCTCAATTCTTCCTACCAAAGTGTGAAGGTGCTGGTGTTGGAATGGGATGGACAAAGTCATAAGTTGCACAACACCAAGTTATAGTCCAATAGGATTATTTGAAATCACAAGATTTCGGAGTGCTGCTGCTTTGTCAGGTGAAGTGGAGGGAAGTGCACAGGCACAATATATAGACAGAGATAAAGTTAATTCAAGGTGATTAAGAATGTCAACAGATAGGTTGAGGAGTGACACGGTGGCTCGGTGGTTAGCACTGCTGCCTCACAGCGCTAGGGACCTGGGTTTGATTCCACCCTCGGGCGACTGTCTGTGTGGAGTTTGCACATTCTCCCCATGTCTGCATGGGTTTCCTGTGGTGCTCCGATTTCCTCCCACAGTCCAAAGCTATGCAGGCTAGGTGTTTTGGCCATGCTAAATTGCCCGTAGTGTTCAGATGTGTAGATTAGGTGGATGGGTCTGGGTAGGATGCTCTGAGGGTCGATGTGGATTTGTTGGGCCGAAGGGCCTGTTTCAACACTGTATGGCTTCTATGATGATCAATGATGATAAGTACAAATAGTGTAAGTGTGTGTCGATAAGTTGAATAGCAAGTCTTTGCAGGTGATCAAAAATGTCAAATGATGTGAGTAAAGTGTCAACAGCTGAATAACAAGTGAAGGGATCACCAATAAACCAATAAGTTAAGATGGAGAGATAATTATAAATAATCAAAAATAAGGTCACGCTAAAGATAAACCAAATGGCTGGATACCTACTCATGTTATTCCAGCCATTTGGTTTGTTAGCAGGAAGGTTGTTTCCCCCAATGGGAGATTCAAGGAGCAGAGGGCATGATCTCGAGGGTCACATATTTAAGACAGGAATGAGGAGGAATTTCTTCTCTCGAAGGGTTGTGAATACTTTACCACAAAGAGTTATTGAGTTTGGGTCATTGAGTATATTCAAGGTTGTTATAGATTTTAATAAGTTAAGGAATAAAGATTATGGGGTAAATGCAGGAAAATGGATTTGAGGATTATCAGATCAGCCACGATCCCATTGAATAGCAGAGCACATTCAGTGGTCTGAATGGCGAACCTGTAACTACCACCTTCATGCCAGATCATGACTACAAGTTTCCAGACAACTGTATTTTTGAAACATGATTTTTTAAATTCATTTATGGAATGTGAACATCTCTTGGTTAGCTACTATTCATTTGTTCGTTCCTAATTGCCCTGGAGGAGATGGTGCTGAACTACCTTCTTGAATTGCTCGGTCCTTGGGGGCTCGAGGTAGTAACAGTGACGTTATGAGTGACTTTTAGGATTTTCACCCAGCAACAGTGAAAGGGAAGTGATATATTTTAATTTTTTATAATATTGTTAATAACTGATGAAATATATTTTTTGTTTATTTTACTCTGTTCAAAAATATTTTCTTGATGCTACTTTGTTGCTGATGTGCAAACCATCAGAATTTATGTTTCTTTACACTTGATTTGATCATTTTTCATTTTGCTTATGATGCATCTGATTCCATATTCCTTTTGAATTTTATTAATGCTAACAAGTATTTTAACTTTAGTTGGGCATCCCAAACTCGAGACTGCGATATTTTCTTCTTGCAAAGCTCCAACCTGACGCTTTCTGCTTCCAAACTTCTTATCAGGTGGGTTTTGATATAGTTGTAACGTGAGTACATGATAAACAACATCAGAAAAATATCAGGTTTATTGCATTCTGTTTCAGGGAATTAGTTTTCAGTCATTTTACTGAAGAGGTAGCAATGAAATGATGGAGTAAAATGTGTCTTTTGAGTTGCAAATTTCAATATCTTGTGAAATTTCTCATTGTTTCAGTCTGACCTTTCCATATAATCTACAACCAGAGATTTATCTATCATTTTGAGTAACGTAATTGACACAGTAAAATCAGCTTTTGCTGGGCGCCCAATTATTTTACCATGAATTGGAATTTTTCTAAACTTGAGTCTCCCTTAAAGATATTACCAAAAATATGAAGAATATTTGGTTATCTAATGTGGTGGACTGCTTATTTGTTGAATGCACTTCATTTGTAAAGTTCCTGTGACCTAACCTTTGTTTCGCTCAGTGTAATGTGTCGATGCTTTTGATTACCATGATGTTTGATATCTCAGTCCAGTGCTGTTTTCTCTGGGCAAAAAAAGTAAGGACGTAACCTGGAGGAAACTTATACAGGGAAGATTGGGAAAGTTCACAGGAACAATCAGAGTTTCTTCAAGTATTGGTACAAGCTAATATTCATCATTTAAATTTGTAGAGGTTGAACTTCTTTGAAATCATTCATTGAGGCACACTGCAAATATGAACTTCAATAAAAAATGACTTCAAGTACATACTTAGTTCATTTCAAATCTATTTCTTGATAAAGTCTTTAATATTTTATGCTTTTGAATCATTCAAGAATGTTTAGAATTTTATGTTACAAGTAATTCTATCTGGTGTGATCTTCAGATTTTTATCTGTAATTTCAGATAATAGAATGTTTCCCAGATCATGAAGTTGCAGATTCAAGATTCACAGATGGTCATTCTAGATTTGATCAGATAGTATCCACAGGTGATAACAAAAAGGAACACAACAACTCGGGATATTGTGCCGAGAATGACAAAAGTGAAACAACTATGACTCGACTTTACAAATTAGAGACGCCAGAACACCTGAAAAAGAAGCAAATCCAGAACAATAATTTGTCAATCCAAATGATCCAAGAATTCTTGGAGGAGGAATTGAAGGATCCAAGGCCATACTTCATACCCCCAAAGACCTTACTGCGTTATGCTTTGATACTAGACATAGTTGGACAGTCTTGTAGAAGATCAGTGTGTTTCACTAAAGGGTAGGTCTCTTTCATTCCATTTAGAAACTGCTTTTTAGTCTTTCAAATTGAGTATTTAGTCAGAAAATAATCAAGCAAAATGGCTGAGTGATATCTTTGAATTATATGTCTCTCACTTGGTCTGATGTGATTTAAGCCCATGTAGATCATATTACCATAGTTTAAATTCATGCCCAAAACCTTTTTACTTCTTGTGGATCAGAATGTTAACTTCATTCAACCTTGATAAAATATTAATGCTAACATCATGCAAATTTCAATTGTTACCATTAGCATGGCAGTATTGTATCAACTTGTTAGAAAAAGAACAAAGAACAGGCGCAAGTCCTTCGGATAACCAAGCCTGCGTCAATTTGTAATCCTTATTTAGACCTGCTACTTATTTCCCGTACATGGTTTCTATCCCCCTGTGCGCCTCCCGTTTATGCATCTATCAAGATAGGCCTTGAACGTTGCTAATGTGCCTGCTTCCACCACCACAGGCAGTGCATTCCAGGCACCCATCACCCTCTGTGTGAAAAGAATTTTCCTGTACTTCTCCCTAAACTTCTCACCTTGACTCTGTGCCATCTTGTAGTTGTCCTTTCCATCCTGGGAAAAAGCCTCCGACAATCCACCCTATCTATGCCCCTCATAATTTTGAAGACCTCAATTAGGCTGCCCCCTCAGCCTCTGTCTTTCCAGTGAAAGCAGTCCAAGTTTATCCAACTTCTCCTCATACCTGAGACCCTCCAGACCAGGCAACATCCTGGTAGACGTTCTCTGCACCTCTCCAAAGCATCCACATCCTCCTGGTAGTGTGGTGACCAGAATTGCACCCAGAATTCCAAATATGGGCCTACTAAAATTTTGTCCAGTTGTCACATCATTTGCCAACTGTTATACTAGATGCCCCAGCCGATGAAGTTAAGCATGCTGTATGCCTTCTTGACCACCTAATCCAAGTGTGTTGCCATTCTCAGGGATCTGTGGACCGATTATACCCATATCTCTCTGAATGTCAATACTCCTTAGGATTCTGCCATTTATTGTATATTTCGCACCTGAATTTGATCTTCCAAAATGCATTACCTCGCATTTGTCTGGATTAAACTCCCATCTGTCATTTCTGTGCCCAAATCTGCAATCTATCTATATCCCGCTGTATCCTTTGACAGTCCTCTTCACTATCTGCAGCCCCACCAATTTGGTGTCATCTGCAAATTTACTAATCAGGCCACCTACATTTTCCTCCAAATCATTTATATATGTATTACAAACAAAATAAAACCCAATAGTAATCCCTATGGAAAACCACTAGTTACTGATTTCCATTGTGAAAAACACCCTTCAACTGCCACTATCTGTCTTCTGTGACTAATCTAGTTCTGTATCCATTGAGGTTGCACACCCCATATCCCATGAGACTCTGCCTTTTGTACCAACCTGCCATGAGGTACCTTATCAAATGCCTTACAAAAGTCCATGTAGAGAATATCCACTGCCCTTCCCTCATCAATCATTCTTGTCACCTCCTCAGAAAACTCAATCAAGTTGGTGAGATGTGATCTTCCTTGCACAAAGCATGCTGCCTATCACTAATAAGTCCATTTGCTTCCAAATGTGATTAAACCCTGTCTCTCAGAATCAGCTCCAACAGGCTTCCCATCACTGACATCAGGCTCACTTGGATTATCTCTGTTTCCCTTCTTAAACAAAGGTACAACATTGGCCATTCTCTAGTCCTACTCCTTTACTCAGGTGTTGTTATCTTGAAGTTCATTTGTAGTGCTCTTTGTGCACACCAATTATTGCTAAGATGCCTCTCAACTTTCAAGAGAGAGAAAGGAAATAGTTTTGTAATCTCTCACTCCTGTCAACTGGGAAGACAGTATTGTCATTCTTGATTAATGCGTTTCTCAACAATAAATAATTTAGAGTGCTAAAATCAGGACATTATTCTAGAGCATAAACAAAACTAAATTTCTAAAAATAACTTCACTTGATTTCTCATCAATTTTTTGAATGTCCTCTGATGTTTCAACCATCAAAGGACTTTCTGCCAGTTACTGAATCATCCTTTTAAAGCTTTTGGGAATTGCCTCACTTCACCTGATGAAGGAGCACTGATCCAAAAGCTTGTGATTTCAAATAAACCTGTTGGACTAGAACCTGGTGTTGTGTGACTTCTGACTTTATCCACCCCAGTCTAACACCGGCACCTCCACATCGTGGGAATTGCCTAGCTATTTTCTTTTGTTGAAATGCTCAAAAGGCCAGAATTAGATGAATGAAGAATTCACAGGGGGCTTTTAGGGTTGGAAGTAGACATTAGAGATGAGGAATGATAGGGCTGTGAAGAAATTTAAACATAAGGAAGAGAATTTAAAATCTGACCAGGATAGGTCAATGAAACCAGGTGATGAGTGAACGGGACTTGGTGCTGAAATGGACAGCAGAGTTTTACCTGAGCTCATATACATGGGTGGTGGAAGATGGGACACCAACAAGATCATTCTTTCTTTCTGAACATTTTTTAAGATCATATTTGTTCAGAGACATTAATTTTAACTCATGATTCTCTAATGCCACAGTGATGCTCAGGAATGACTTACATTAAAGTTGCTTAATACTTTCTTTAAATTAGCAAACTGACTTGTATTGTGACCACTGACTACTACTCTGTCATGGATGATGAGTATGAATTTGTGGGTTACAAGTAGAACAATCGGTTTGGTTGAATTTTGGAATTGCCCTGATTGATTTTTTTGTTTAGAAAATGTACTTATGCATGATTATGCTTTATCACAAACAACAGCAATTGCATTTTTGTTTTAAACATTCAAACACTAACTTTTTGGAAGTTTACTTTTAGTTGCAATAATTAATCAATGCTGTTTTATAATACAGATATGGCCATTATGCTGAAGGTACTGGTTCAGTGTTGAAGACTGCACCAGATGTTCAGGTATGCTATTGCTAACCATAGGAGCATGTAGATGACTTTTTTTAAAACCACAAAATAAACCTGTGAGTTGCTAGATTTTGGACAGCGTGACTGTTGAAATGCTTGATGGTAATTAATTTGGTAGAATAAAATGTCAACAGATTCCAAACGATTTTGAGTTAATTGATTTATTTACTCACCAATCCTTTCAGAAATTCTTCAAATAATTAGAATTAGAATAAGTGCAGTGAAAAGTTTACATAGTCGCCATTTACGGCATCTTCTTAGGTACATAGATACATAGGGACAGAATTTTAGGAATAAACTAGAAAAATAAAGAAATAAAAGGTTCGGAATTCAGTAGTCCTTCAAGCAGACTGCGTCAGGCCTCGATTCCAGAATTATGCCAGGCCTTGCCTCCAGTCTGCGTCAGCCTTAACCTGGGGCTGCCTGTTCTTACTACTGCTGCAGATGCTGGGGGACCTCACTGTCTGCCACGTTGGGCCTGTTCACCCCACAATGGCTCGACTCCAATGCACTGGGCTGACTCTCCTCCGCACTGCACAAACTCGTTTACCACAAAGGGTAAGTAGATTATGGTGTGAAAAAAGTGAAATAATGGAACTGTGTGCACGATACCACTAAACTAAACCTTTGGACTTAAGAGTGCTAAGATGGTTTCATGTACAATGGATCTTAATTAAAATGGGATGCCACAATTTGGACTACAGGTGACTGAGCAAATTGACAGTGTGAAAGGTATTGTTGTGCATTTGGCCCAAAGGCTAGATGTTAAATATCAGAAATGGGCAGTGCGTTACCAATACCCAAGTGCCTAGAATGATTTTCTTATGTCAAGATTTGTTGCAATTGTAACTAGATAACCGTACTGTAGTGGTAAATCTGAATTAATCTGAACAAATTCAAGAATATTGCCACATTTTATTTATTTCGCAGCCATTCTTGCCCTCAATGTATCTTTTTCATGGATATCAAACAAAATTCAAAAATATTGTGACATGTCTTTTTTTAAAATATCTCTGACCACAATAATCCATGTTTGCACACGAAAACTACCAGCTGTAGATCAAATGGTTTTCTTTGAATCCAGACTTCTCTAACACTTCCATAAAACTAGCATATGGGTCGGGAAGTGTCTTAACCCATGCTTGATCTGGAGCCAGTGTCCAATCTGATACCAGAGATAAGAAAGGAGCCTGAAGTTAAGAATCCAAGTGGTATTTAACCTTCCTGCCTATCTACACTATCTTCGAGTGCAGCAATTCACTCAAAGTCCACTTGTTGAATTCATACTTCTGTATTAAAATATACTTGGGTAATGTTTGTTGTCAATTTTCATTTGTTGCTTTCAGGGTTGTAATCTATTAATTAACTCTTGATTTGAACAAACTGATTTGTTTTTCAATATTTAATTATTTCCTTTCACTTTTAACAGCTTTCTGAAGTCTTCCAGTCATTTCAGACACTGTCAGAGGATGAAAAGTTGTCTCGGCTATCAAAACTAAAACTGCGATATTTCACTCCGAGGGAAATAGCAAATCTTCATGGATTTCCTCCAGAATTCAGTACGTACACAATTATGTGTTCCTGGGCTTTGTTGATTTGTGAAATAGAAGCTCCTCCTTCACTTTTCTGCTTAATTTTTAATGTAGCTAAGCACATTGCACACTTTAGAATGACAGCAGTTATGGTGGATGGATGATTTGCTTCCTGTCTTGCTATTGCAGCAACAGAATTAGTGTTAGAATTAGAATTAGAATTGAGCACAAAACAGTGATTGAAGATTGTGACTTTCTTCAACCTTTCTATGGGAAAACACCTGGTCTCCAATTGTTTCCTCACTAAAGTGGAATTATTATGATCTGGCACTCGTACCGGGAAAGAGAAAATTATCCCATGGCGACTTCAGAGGCTGGTACTTGGATCCCATGGAATTGCATATTAGGACAGTAGACAAAGTTTTAAAATAATAGTGAAGGGGAAAGAGGGTGATGCTGATGAGATTGGGAGATGGTGGAATTCAGAAAAGAACAAATTCAAAATTAGAACAGGAAATTTTAAGGTACTAGAGTTTATCAGCATTTTTGATTTTAAAAATGACCAGCGTGGATCATAAAATAACAAATTAAATTAAAATAGTGAATGTAACAAAAGCACAATTGAAGCAAATGAATTTGATGTAGTAGTGATCAGAGAAATGTGTTTGCAAAATGCCTAATGTTAGTATCTATTATTCCAGGATATCTTTAAAAGAAGATGGCAAAATGGAAAAGGAGCTGGGGTGGCCCTGATAATGCAAGATAAGATTAAGCGAGTAAAGGAGAAATAATCTTGGCTCAGAAAATCAAAAGGTAGAATTATTTTGAAAGGAACTAAGAAGTAGCAGTTTTTTGGGCCCTGAGCATTCATTGCAGTTTAGAGTAGATTATAAATTAGCAAGTTAGAGGTGTATGCAATAAATGTGATATACCAAACGTAGGGGGAATTTACCTTTCATATGGACTGGGCAAACCAAATTTGCAGCAGGGTTGTATGATGGAGTGAACACAAGGTAGTTTTTTAAAATAATATGTTGAGGAACTAACTGTTTTGGATCAAGTATTGTGGAAATAGAATAGTTGAAGCGTCGATAAAGGGCCATCTAGAGAAAGGTGACTATAACGTGAAGAATTTTGTATTGAGTTTGAAAGGAGATTTCATTAAGTTTGAAGCTAAAGTCTTAAATCTAAATAAAGCAAAATAGAAAGGGTTCAAAGGGTGAGTTAACTAAGGTAGAATTGGGTAAATATATTAAACAGTATGACAGAAGGCAAGCTAGTATTTAAAGAACTAATACATAATTTGCAACAAATTATACATTGACATTTTTTGTTATTCGTTTATGGGATGTGGGCGTTGCTGGCTGGTCAGCACTTGAGAAGATGGTGGTGAGCTGCCTTCTTGAACCACTGCAGTTCACTTTGATAATGAACTCAAAACAACAGGAAAAGTGGTCCAACCATGGCTAACAAGTGAAATTAAAGATTATATTATTCAAGGAAGGAAGTTTAAACAGTTGCCAAAAAAAGATTTCTAAGACAGAGGATTGGGAGCATTTTAGAATTCAGGAAAGGAGGGCTCAGAAGTTGACAAGGTAAAACAAAATAGTATTTGCGAGTAGGAGTCCCCTGTGTCTATTCCTCTCTCAGCAAATGTATTGTTTTGGATACTGTTGGAGGGGATGGCCTCTTGGGGAAATGCAGAAGCAGCAGCCAGATTACTGACGTCATGATTGACTCTGTTGTACAGCAGGGAGGGTCAAAGTGTAGGCGAGCGGTAGTAATAAGGGACCCTATATTCAGGGGCATGGGCATTTCTGTGGTCAAAACCATGACGCCAGGATAATGGTTTGCTTCCTGGGTGCCAGGGTCAGGATTGTCTCTGCGCGGATACAGGACATTCTGAAAAGGGAAGGTGAATAACCAGAGGCTGTGGTCCAACATAGGCAGGAAGAGAGATGAAGTCTTGCAAAGGGAATTTAGGGAGTTAGATTGAAAGTTGAAAGCAGGATGTCTAGGGTTGTAATCTCAGGATTACTCACTGTGCTATTGCTAGTGAGGCCAGAAGTATGAAGATAATACAGTTGAATACGTGACTAAATAGCTGGTGTAGGAGAGAGTGCTTCAGATATCTGGATCACTGAGATCTCTTCCAGGGCAGGAGGGACCTGTACAAGAAGACAGGAGTGCACCTAAGATGGAGGTGCAGGGAGGTTTGCTAATGCCACTAAGGAAGGTTTAAATTAGAATGGCGGGGGTGGGAACCAGAGCAATAGGTCAGCATGTGGTGTGATTGAGGAGAACGTGGAGGTTAAATCGAATAAAAAGAACAAGCAGGGCCAGGTTAATGAACGTGGTGGGGCTGGCATTTGTTTTAATGCAAGGAGTATAACAGATAATGGCAGATGAGCTTAGAGTCTGGATTAGTACATGAATCTACGATATTTTAGCCACTACAGAAAAATGTTTGAGTGAAGGGCAGAATAGACAACTTAACATTCCAGGATTTAGATGTTTCAGGCATGATGGAGAGGAATGTAAAATGGGTAGGGTAGTCGCATTACTGATCGAGGAGAATGTTACAGATGCACTGAGAGAGGATACAATCCAGCAAAGCCAAATGGACAGCACTCAAGATTAAAAAAGGTACAATCACAATGATGGGTCTCCAGCAGGGGATAGAGAGGAATATATGTATAAGCAGGTCATGGAAAGATGTAAAAACAACAGGGTTGTTGTAATAGGTGATTTTTAACTTCCCTCGTATTGACTGAGACTCCTTAACACCAGGGGCTTAGATGGGGCAGAATTTGTTAGGTGCATCCAGGAGGGTTTTTTGAACGAATATGTAGATAGTTCAACTAGGGAAGGGGCCATAATAGACCTTGCATGAAGGAACAAGTCTGGCCAGATGATCAAAGTTTCAGTGGAGGAGTATTTTGAGAACAGTGCTCATAATTTCCTAAATTTTAAGATAGCTATGGATAAGGATAAGACTGGTCCTTAGGTGAGATTGCTAAATTTGGGCCATTTTATCAGAGTTCAGAATCCGCATGTTCCTATGAGGATGTAAGATAAGGATGGCAAGATTTGGAGAAGAATGGCCTTATTAGGATAGTCAGCATCGCCTAAGCAAGGGAGATCTTACCTCACAAACTTGATTGAGGTTTTTGAGAAAGTCACAGATGACTGATTAGGGTAGGGCAGTGGATGTTGTCTAGTTGGACTTTACTAAAGCATTTGACAAGTCCCTCATGGCAGGCTAGTCCAAAAGATGAAATCATATGAGATCAGGGTGAGTTGGTAAGTTGGTAAATTGGTTTGGCTAGAGAAGTCAAAGAATAGTTGTGCAGGGATGTTTTTCTGACTGGAGTTCTGTGACCAGTGGTGTTCAGCAAGGATCAATACTGAGACCTCTGTTGTTTGTAATATATACAAAAGATTTAGATGAAAATCAGGTGGTCTGACTAGTAAGTTTGCAGATGACACAAAATTTAGTGGAGTTGTGGATAGTGCGAAAGGTTGTCAAAGGATGCTGCAGGATATAGATCAGTTGATAAGTTAGGTAGAGAAATAGCAGATGGCGTTTAATCCAGATAAGTGTAAGATAAGAGGAAAGTATACAGTAAATAGCAGGATCCTTAGGAGCATTGATATTCAGAGGGATCTTGGGGTGCAAATCCATAGGTTCCTGAATGTGGCAACACAAGTGAATAAGTTTGTAAAGAAGGTATATGGCATGCTTGCCTTCAGCAGTGAGGATATTGAGTATAACAGTTGGCAAGTCATGTTGCAGCTGTATAAAACTTGTTAAGCCATATTTAGAGTATTATGTGCAGTTCTGCTTGCCACACTACAGGAAAGAAGTGGAGGCTTTGGAAAGGATGCAAAAAGGTTTACAAGAATGTTGCAGAGACAGTAGGAACTGCCAATGCTGGAGAATCTGAGACAACAAGGTGTAGAGCTGGATGAACACAGCAGACCAAGCAGCATCAGAAGAGCAGGAAAGCTGATGTTTCGGGTCTAGATCCTTCTTCAGAAATGGGGGATGGGAGGGGATTCTGAAATAAATAGGGAGAAAGGGGGAGGTGGATAGAAGATGGATAAAAGAGAAGATAGGTGGAGAGGAGAGAGACAGGTCAAGGAGGCGGGGTTGGAGCCAGTAAAGGTGAGTGTAGATGGGGAGTTTGGGAGGGGATAGGTCGGTCCAGGAAGGACGGACAGGTCAAGGAGGCTGGATGAGGCTAGTAGGTTGGAGATGGGGGTGAGGCTTGAGGTGGGAGGAGTCGATAGGTGGGACGACAGGTTAGGGAGGCGGGTATGAGCTGGGCTGGTTTTGGGATGCGATTGGGGGAGGGGAGATTTTGAAGCTTGTGAAGTCCACATTGATACCATTGGGCTGCAGGGTTCCCAAGCGAATAGCACCTCCCAGTCGCGAACCATTTCACCTCCCCCTCCCACTCCTTTGACGACATGTCCATCCTGGGCCTCCTGCAGTGCCACAATGATGCCACCTGAAGGTTGCAGGAACAGCGTCTCATATTTCACTTGGGAACCCTGCAGCCCAATGGTATCAATGTGGACTTCACAAGCTTCAAAATCTCCCCTCCCCCGACCGCATCCCACAACCAGCCCAGCTCGTACCCACCTCCCTAACCTGTCGTCCCACCTATCCACTCCTCCCACCTCAAGCCTCACCCCCATCTCCTACCTACTAGCCTCATCCCACCTCCTTGACCTGTCCGTCCTCCCTGGACTGACCTATCTCCTCCCTAACTCCCCACCTACACTCACCTTTACTGGCTCCATCCCCGCCTCCTTGACCTGTCTGTCTCCTCTCCCCCTATCTTTTCCTTTATCCATCTTCTTTCCGCCTCCCCCTTTCTCCCTATTTATTTCAGAATCCCCTTCCCCTTGCCCATTCTGAAGAAGGGTCTAGACCCGAAACGTCAGCTTTCCTGCTCCTGTGATGCTGCTTGGCCTGCTGTGTTCATCCAGCTCTACACCTTGTTGTCTTACAAGAATGTTACCTGGTTGGAGTGTATTAACTATAAGGAGAGGTTGGACAAACTTGAACTGTTTTCCTGAGAGCTTCAGAAGCTGCAGGGTATAAAATTATGAGAGGTGTGGATAGGATAGATAATTAGAGTCTTTTTCCCAAGGGTGAATTGTTAAATGATGGGGAGCATTGGTTTAAGGTGAGAAGGGGGAAAGTTTAATGGAGATGTGCAAGGCAAGCTTTTTACACAGAGGGTGGTATGTACCTGGAACGTGCTGTCACAGAAGGTGGTAGAAGCAGGTACGATACCAACATTTAAGAGGCATTTAGATAGCCACACGAAAAGGCAGGGAATAGAGGGATATGGACTGTGTGTAAACAGATGGGATTGGTTTAGAATGACATCATGGTCAGCATGGACATGCTGGCCCTAAGGGCTTGTTCCTCTGCTGCACTGTTCTATGTTCTTTAGTAGACTAGCAAGTGGCATAAAAATAAGCTATCCCTGTAGTTATGTAAATGAGAAGAGATTAATTAAGATAAATTTGGGCCCATTAGATACAGAGTCAAATTAAATTATCATGGTGAGTTGTTAATATTGGCTATTCTTTGCAGATAAGTTTTGTCTCACATGAGTCTAAAAATGGCTGATGAGGCTGATTCAGGATTTGCAGTGATAATAAGTCCCCTCAACTTGGCAGCTCGAAACCTAAGAGAGAGCTGCAGATGTATTAGATGCATTTGTTTTGATATTGCAGAATTCTGAAATAGTTCCCTGAAACCAGATAACCGAACAACAATAGTAGGCAGTAAAATGTTAGATTTATTATTAAAGACGTGACATCAGTCCACTTAAAGAAACTTAATATGAGAAAACAGAGCGAAGACCGATAAATAAAAGGAAATTTTATTTACCAAGTCTGTCGGAGCTTTTTTATGGATGTCAGTTATAAGCTAGTTCAGGTGAACATCAAAGAACATGCAATGAAGATAGACTGGACTGGTTCCTGGATGTGGGGATTATCCTTTGAGGAGAATCCATTCAAGCGGGCTGCTTTGTCCTGGATGTTGTCAAGCTTCTTGAGCATTGTTGGAGCTGAACTCATCCAGGCAAGTGTGGAGTATTCCATCACAGTCCTGAGTTGTGCCTTGTAGATGGTGGTCAGGTATTAGGGAGCCAGAAAGTGAATTACTCTCTGAATGATTCCTAGCCTCTGACCTTCTCATGTAGCAACAGTATGTATATGCTAGTCCAGTTTAGTTTTTGGTCGATGGTAAACTCCAGGATGTTGATTAATTCACTGAAGGCAATGCCATTGAATGTCAAGGAGCAAAGGTTAGATTCTTCTTTTGTTAGAGATGGTCATTGCCTGCAACATGTCTGGCACAAATGTTACTTGATACTTGTGAGATTGTCAATGGGCTCAAATTGATAAAAGTGTTGCCATGGGGAACATGATTAGTGACTGAAAGTTAATTGCTGAGATTTGTTTAAATTTTAACCAAGCAGATTGTTCAAAGCAGGGCTCTGAGGAATGAACGAGAGTTTGGTTGTCCAAATTTTAAGTTGGGACTGGTGCAATGTATGTACGTGTTCTTTCAATGTACAAAGAACAGGGATCTGCCTATTAATATATGTAGCTTCCAGTGTGTGCAAGTGTGCCACACTGTAAGCCTGATGAATGATCTTTACTTCTTAGCACATTTGGGATTATTTCACAAATGTTGGCCACTCTGTGGCCAACATTAAATGTGGTTTTATGTTTTGAGTTTTGCAAGCACTGGCTGATTGTGTATGGTCAGTACTTTTCCATGTTGTGAACAGCCATTGTAAATGCTGTTTAATACAATCTGCCAGTTTTTGGAACATATAGCCAATGTACCGAGCATCGCACCCAAAGTGAAATTCACACCGTATATTATTCGTGTGTGATGAGTTTTTTGGCTTATTGAGAACATCTTGTTCAAGGTGATCACCACTTGTGTTGCCACTGCATAATAACAGCGTGAACAGCTAGCTTCACCTCATGCTCAAATTTCTGAAATAAGTTACCCTTAACCTAAGGTGGACCGAGATGCAAGATGGACCCCATAAGATGTTTAAGGAATTTCTTAGATACAGCTGCAGGTTCAAAAGTAGCATTTACATACCAAAAACATGTGAGAGATGTTTGTGAGAGTTAAGCCCAGAGGACATCCTTTGGCAACACCATCTATTTGAGCCTACATGGTGTTGTTAAATCTGAATTTAACTGTGTGAGTTGCTATATTCAGAAGTTCAATAAATACTGATTCACACAATAGTGTTAGTTCTAGATCACCATGATTTGGTGCTGCAGTGAAAATGTCTTGTGGCTTCTTCTATTGGTGAATGGGCTGGCAATGTCAAATGAGCGTATGGACTAGTACAATCAGTATGCAAGTCCTGTATATTAAGAATGGCATGCAATATGTTGATACAGTAACACTAGCTAAGAATGACCATTCCATTCCTTTGTTGGGTTATCAGTTCGTATGTTCAGGTTGGCCTTGATACTGAGCAACGCTGCTAAGCATTTGTGTTGCATGTGAAAATCAGGCAAACCATTTGGAACCTCACAGTGTATGTGCTGTGGATCATATAGGTGCACTTTCAAGGATCAAAGGATATGGGGCAAAAGCAGAATAAGCATACCGAGTACAATGATCAGCCATGATCATATTGAATGACGGAGCAGGCTCGAAGAGCCGAATGGCTTACTCCTGTTCCTGTGTTTTCCATGTTCTATGTTTCCATGATTCAGAGACTTCAGTAGATGCCGGTTTGTGGCCTGATATCTAGGAACGATCAAAAAAACTCTGCTTGTTTGATGTGGGTCCAACACTAAGCGCAAGAATTAACTCACATGGTCAGATTTTTTTTTAACATATTGTTGATTATGTTGCCAAGCCACTTCCACTTAAGTAAGTTTATGGTGCATGTTTGCATCAAGTGGGTATTGTTTATGATGCAGTAACCTATTGAGGCATTATAGCAGTATAAATGGATCAAATCAACAAATGAAAGAAATTTGTGTACTCAGAGTACGCTCTGGATATGGCCATTTTGGATATTATCAATTTGTTCAATCTCCTCTTGCGTAAATACCCTCTCAATTGTGGAACTGTATCAGCCTTTAGCATTGTTAATACATTTGAAAATGTAAACTGGCAGAACCTTGGATTTAGAAAACTCTTTAAGAAATTCAAGCATTAACTTACCACTGTACCAATTAAACAGCACTGTCTTCGTTTCTAAAATGTTGTTTGCCTTTACGTTGATAGTCTTGAGAATGAGTGCAAGACAAAAAACTTAGACAGGTTGTATACTTTTTCAGCAATATTCATAAGAAATATATTAAAATCACATTATTCGGAAATGTATTTAAATTTAAAGACACCTGACTCTTCTGGGTTTGAAACCTCGCCAGTGACATTCCCCCTTGAGATCTATAGCTTTATTGGCTAATAAGAGTATTTTGATAGTTACATATCTTTTAGTTATTTATACTTTTAATTATATTTTGATATTCTTGCAGGTTTTCCTGAGACTATTTCGCTGAGACAAAGTTACCGTCTGCTTGGAAACAGCCTCAATATCAAAGTGGTAGCCAAGCTCATTAGCTTGATGGTTGAATGATGTCGAAAACCCATAAGATTTATGATTTATTCTATGTAATTATGTACATCTGTAAATGCTTATTTTACCTAATAAATAAATGACAAACAGATTGTGTGAAATGAAATGTTGATGATGTCATTTCAGAATGACTATTTTTAATATTATCAATGTATTGATACCGTTCTTTTGATACTACTGTATACAAGTCTGCCCTTCCATGTATTACAACATCAGAACTTAATCATTGTTATTCATCTTCTTAATAGCACTGCACCTACACCACCAGAGAGGCAGCAGCGGTTCAAGACAGCGTTTCACCGGCACCTTTTCAAGGACAGTCAAGAATACACAACAAATGTTGGCGTAGCCAGCAATGCTAATGTTATATGCAAGAATCAAAACATAGTGTAGTGTGAACAAATTTAAAATAATTTTTGTATATTTTAAATGTTTAATCTAACAGATTTTTACATTGTTTAGTAAAGTCACAGTTTGATGGCATTGTTTGTATTTTGAAAGAATAAAATGAAGAGTTTCATGCAGGGTCCTTTTGTTTCAATCATAACTATTTTACGTTTCACGGTTTATTTGCACATTAAGTCCTTGTTTATTGTGTCTCGTTATTCTATTTCTGAAATATAATGCAGTGAGTTGGAATTACATAATAATGCTAGATCATATTGAATGAAGAGTCTGTATGTCTCCATCAAAGAATTTGGCAGTCTACTCTTCATTTATTATAGTTGTAATATGATTCTCCTTATGACCATTACAGCCTCACAAACCAGAATTGGACATTGAACTTCACTTCAGACCAAAGTAGTATTTTGGAAACGTTTGTTACAAATTCTTTCCTTTAGTGTTCTGGAAGTAGGTTCCATTTTGACATTCAGGAATGTAATGAATGATTATTTGGATAGAAGTAAGGTGCAAGGATACAGAGGAAAAGCAGGAGACTCACGGTATGCAGTGATCCTTGACCCTGGCATCAGGGAGGCAACGTATCTTTGTGGATTCATGTCTGCAGCTGGTGACACATCTGTCTATTCTGGATGCTATTTCTTTTGAACTTCAAGCATATACACACACAAATATGTATGGCTAAAAATGCCTCCTGTCCAAATCTTTTCAATATTTATCAAAGATATCTGATGCACAGCTGGAGTTTTTTTTTTAATGCTAAGTTTAATTCAGTTACTTGACAACAGAGAAGAAAGTTTCAATTTTCATTGCATCTGCTTCGGAAGGAAAGGCAGTGTGGACCTGGAGTGGAAGTGAGTGGAGATCCATATTTTTATTTTCGGAAGTCACTAGGGGAACTGATTTCAAATTCACCATAACAGAGTTTCCACTGTATTTCTGGCAAGATGGTGGTTTCGAGGAAATTTCCAGCTGCTAACCCAGAAGCTTCTTAACAATTAAAATAACTAATGGAATTCATCTAAAGAGGGGTGGCGTACCAAGCGATGGAATTTATGTCACAGTTATGTGAAACTCTGATTAGATCTCATCAGAAATACTAGATTAAGTTCTTGGCCCTGTACCTTAAGATGGATATGCAGACCAGTGGTGCAGCATAAATTCAGCAGAAAAATTAAGCATTTTATCTCTTCTCATCAAACTCTCAATATCCCTTGACATTTAGATTTATTTAATATATTGTCACTTGTACCCAGGTACAGTGAAAAGTGGATAATGTTGCCACGTTCTGGCGCCATCTTGGATTACAGAATACATTACTGAACATATTGTATAAATACTGAAATTAATATTAAAGTGATGTTACTAAAAACCAGTGTCAAAAGTTCATCTTTTCCTCTCTGTAGACTTCACCATCTCTGCTCCTCCAGTCACCATTGTCCGACGTCTCCAGGGTCCTGGTAATGTGCTCCTTTCCCTTCTGCATCAGCCACTTCTGAGCTAGAGATAATCATACTGTGTGGGTCCCAGATCTCTTCCAATGCTGGTCATCAACTGATGGGTCCTGGCTTGTCTTCCAATGCTGCCACCCAAGATGGAGCGGGGATGGAGATACATGGAGCCCTGGCCTCCCACAAGAGGACCAGGAGGAAGCCCAGGCAACTAAAACAAAAAAAAAGTTATTGAGCTGGAAAGGCAACAATGAAGCCATGTGGATATGGCAGAACCTGTCTCATGAGCCATGAACGGCTGAGCCCCACACTCAGGATCCAAACGCTGCCAACCCCACTGCCGCCATCTTGATATCCAGGATATGCTGTAATTGCTGTTTCACTCTTAGAGGAACATGCTGACCCTGAATTCTCATTATAGTGCTTTTAAAAGACTCCAACTTTCCAAATGTAGACTTAACTGCAGTAGCTGTTCCCAGTCTATGTTTGCTAGATCCTGTCCACTAATATAGAAATTGGCCTTACCCCCAATTTAGACACAACTTCTGCACTATCCTTCTTCCTTTCCATGGTGACTTTGAAACTTATAGTTTTATGGTCATGATCACCGAAATGCTCATCCACTGAAACTTCAGCCACTTAACCAATTTCATTTCCTAGGATTCCCCATCTCCAGTAGGACGATCTATAGTCTGGCACAAAGGGCTCTCCTGGATGCACTTTAAAAATTCAAGCTCGTCTAATCTTTTCCCACTAAAGCAATTCCAGATAATGTTAGCAAAGTTGAAATCCCCTTCAACTGTAGCCCTGCTTCTCTGACACCTTTCTGTGATTTGCCTGCATCTGCTTCTCTTTCTCCTGCTATTGGGAGGCCTACAGTGTAATCCCAGCAAAGTAGTTGACCTTTTTTTAAAACTTCTAAGCTCTACCCAGATGGCCTTATTTGCAGAATCTTCCAGAACATCCCCCTCCATTGCTGCACTGATGGTTTTCTTCATCGGCGCGTTCCACATGCCAACCATTCTCTGTGTAAAGAATCTACCTCTGACATCTCCCCTATACCTTCCTCCAATCACCTTAAAATTGTGTCCCCTCATAAAAGTCATTTCTGCCCTTGGAAAAAGTCTCTGGCTATCCACTCACTCTATGCCTCTCATCTTCTTGTGCACCTCTATCAAATCATCTCTCATCCTTCTTCGCTCCAATGATAAAAGTCCTAGGTCCCTCAACCTTTCCTCATAAGACCTGCCCTCCAGTCCAGACAGCATCCTGGTAAATCTCCTCTGCACCCTCTCTAAAGCTTCCACATCCTTCCTATAATGAGGCGACCAGAACTGAGCACAATATTCCAAGTGTGATCTAACCAGGGTTTTATAGAGCTGCAGCATAACCTCACGGTTCTTAAACTCAATTCTCCTGCCAATGAAAGCCAAGCACCATACGCCTTACTTACAATCCTATCAACTTGGGTCACAACTTTGAGAGATCTATGGACGTGGACCCCAAGATCCCTCTGTTCCTCCACACTGCCGAAAATCCTGCCATTAATGTATTCTGCATTCAAATTTGACCTTCCAAAATGAATCACTTCACACTTTTCTAGGTTGAATTCCATCTGCCACTTCTTTGCCCAGCTCTGTATCCTGTCAATGTCCCGTTGCAACCTACAACAGCCCTCCATGCTGTCCACAACTCCACCAACCTTCATGTTATTGGCAAACTTACTAACCCACCTTTCCACTTCCTCATCCAAGTCATGTATAAAGATCACAAAGAGCAGATGTCCCAGAACAGATCCCTGCAGAACACCATTGGTCACCAAGCTCCAGGTCGAATACTTTCCATCTACTACCACCCTTTGTCTTCTATTGGACAGCCAGTTTTGTATCCGGACAGCCAGTTTTGTATCCAGACAGCCAAATTTCCCTGAATCCCATGCCTCCTTACTTTCTGAATGAGCCTACCATGTGGAACCTTATCAAATGTCTTGTTAAAATCCATATACACCACATCCACTGCTCTACCTTCATCAATGTGTTTTGTTACATTCTCAAAGAATTCAATAAAGCCGTGCTGACTATTTCTAATCAAACTGTGCTTTTCCAAATAATCATAAATACTATCTCTCAGAATTCTCTCCAATAATTTGCCCACCACAGAAGTAAGATTGACTGGTCTGTAATTTCCAGGATTATCCCTGTTCCCTTTCTTGAACAAGGGAATGACATTTGCCACCCTCTAATCTTCTGGTAATACTCCAGTGGACAGTGAGGACGCAAAAATCATTGCCAAAGGGGCAGCAATCTCTTCCCACGCTTCCCGTAGTAACCTTGGGTATATCCTGTCTGGCCCAGGGGACTTATCTATCCTCATGTTTTTCAAAATTTCTAGCACATCCTCCTTCCTAACAACAACCTGCATATCTGCCTGTTTCATGCTGTCCTCACAAACGTCAAGGTCCCTCTCACTGGTGAATACTGAAGCAAAGTATTCATTAAGGACCTCCCCTACCTCCTCTGACTCTGTGCACAAGTTCCCTCTACTCTCCCTGATCGGCCCTACCCTCACTCTAGCCATCCTCTTGTTCCTCACATAAGTATAGAAAGCCTTGGGGTTTTTCTTGATCCAACACGCCAAGGTAAGTGGGGATTTAAAGAGTTTTAATCACTCAAAGGGAAATGGGTATCTGAAACTCTGCGTGAAATCGTGGTAGAGGCAGAAATATGTTGTATTGTAATGAATAGAATGGTTTACTGAGAAGTTAACACAGAAAACCTTTGTATCTTTTTCAAGAAAATGTTAGATAAATATTTCAAACAGCAGGGATATGGCATTATGAAAGGATTTCAGGGAAATGAACTTTGTTTTGTATTGTTGCAGTGTCATAGGCACAATGAGCAAATTGGCATCCATTAATGCAAAAACCTCAAAGTTTGTAATGATTTCAAGTATCTTGTAAGTTGCAGACAGGCCTTCTCTAGCTCTAGACATAAAAGACAGCATCTCCATTTCATGCGTAAATATTTTAGGATCCAATATCATGCCTGCAAGCTTATTTCTGAAAGATTATGCATGAATAAGGATCCTTTTGATTGACATGTCATGGTCATCAGTCCATCGAAACCTGGACAACAGGGGCTGCCAGGCTTCGTGATTTCTGTGTCCTCAGGTGACTCAGGCTTCTTGCAATGTATCATTTTCAAGAAAATGTTAGATAAATATTTCAATCAGCAGGGATATGGCACTGTGAAAAGATTTTCTCTTTTTTCTTGCAATTTCTTGCTATCTTACAATAGCACTTATTATTTCACATGTGGAGTCTAAGAAACTATTACTACAGCCAAAACCAAGCAGCATGTCAAAGAAGCAATTTTTCTCGATTTTCTCACAATTTTCTCTTTAAATTATGAAAAGATGAGTTTTGAAATTTAAATTATTTGGCCTGCAATGAAATGTCTACACCAGTGGAGCAGATCTTGCATGACAAAGTTTGTGATGCTGGAGGAATTAACATCAGTGAAGTTACTGAAGTTACAGTAACTTTACCCCCTTACACTCCCTTTCCTTTGACTCCATCCCGTCTCCTAACTTCTTCACTTGTATTATATTTACTATCCTTTCTGATCTTCTGTTGTCTGATGCCCAACCTTCTGTACTCAGCAAAGGTCTTATGCTCCCATCTCAATGAATTTCAAGCATGACATAATGTTGAACTCTTCTTCTGTTACCTCCACCTCCAGCCCATTCCTTTTTTTATTATTCGTTTGTAGGTTGTAAGCATTGCTGGCTGCTCAGCATTTATTGCCTATACCTAGTTGCCCTTAAGAAGGTGGCAGTGAGTGGCATTCTTGAACTGCTGTAGTCCACCTGCTGTATGTAAATCCACAATTCCCTTAATGGAAGGAATTCCAGGATTTCAACCCAGAGACAGTGAGGGATTGGTGATGTATTTCCAAGTCAGGGTGGTGAGTGGCTTGGAGAGGAAATTGAAGGTTGTGGAGTTCCCATGCATTTGCTGCCTTTGTCCATCTAGATGGAATTGGTCGAGGGCTTGGAAGGTGCTGTCCGAGGATTTCGGTGAATTTCTGAATTTCTTTGGACAAGAATCCTCCCCCTATCCCACAGACACCTTCACCTGCCTCCAACACTTACCCTCCCCCGGACCACTCTCTCTGGCATTTTACCTGCCATTTTACTTGTTCATTGAGAACTGTTGACATGATATTGGTCACCTTAATTTCCCTGCAACCCCTGCCCCCATCTATTTCACTCTATCTCCCTCTGATAATAGGCAACCTTCTCCATCATTTTCAGCCTGTTGGTGTTTCTTATCTCTGCCCATACAGATTTCACATCATGATTTTCCCAGCCAATATCCTGCATCATTATGCCATTTAGTATCCATTACTAACAATGCTATCCCACCTCCTTTCCCTATCCATCTGTCCCTCATAAATATTGTTTACCCTGGATGTTCAGTCCCCATCCATGGTCAACCTGCAGCTATTTCTCCATAATTGCAAATACAATCACGTGTATATACTACGTATATTGTTAAATCATCTATCTGACTGCAAACTCTCCACACATTGAGCCACAATACCTTTAAACTCATCATTTTAACCTTGTCTTAGCTTTATTTTGCACTTGTTTCTCCCGCCTTATTCTTTTTCTGCCTTCAACTTTACATCTTACTTTTCTGTCTTTTTTTAGCTTTCTTTTTGCCCTCTCTGTCTCCCTGCTCAGGATCCCATCCCCCTGCCACCCTGTAATTCTAGTTTAATCCTTCCCTAACTGTTCTAGCAAATAGCCCACTGAGAAGGTGATCCTTCCCTCCCACCCACCACAACATCACGCAACCAGTCCTGTTTCCCCCGATCCTATCCAAATGTCACAGAAATCTGAATCTACCAGCCATACCATTCCTTCACCCACATATTCATCTTATATATATATGTCTTTGTTTGCTAGCCTATGGTACTGATAGTAATCCTCAGATTATTACCTATGAGGTCCTATTTATTAATTTTCATCCTAACTCCTTATATTTAGCTTAGAGGACCTCATTACTTTTATACAAATGTTGTTGGTACCATGGACACCGGCTGTTTACCCTCCTCCTCAGAGTGCCCTGCAGCCACTCTGAGACACCCTTGATCCTGGCACCAGGGAAGCAACATACCACTTTAGTGTCCACAGAAATGCCCATCTGTTTGTCTTACTAAGGAATCCCCTATCTGTAACTCTGCCACTCTTCTTCATCCCCCCCAGTGCTGCAGACCCACCCCTGATGCCAAGGACCTGGCTATCCCCTGAGAAGTTATTACCTCCAGCAGTATCCAAAATGGTACATCTGTTAGAAAGGGGGACAGCTAGTGGAATCTCCTGATCGACCTGCCTTCCTCTACTCTGGTCGCCACCCAACCCCTTTCTGTCTGTTCAGCCTTTATCTCTGATATGACCACTTTACCTCACGATAATCTCAGCTCTGTGGATGCTTCACAGTAAGTCCACGCACAGCTCCAGTTCCAAAATGCAGTTGCCAGTGTCAGCAGCTGGACACACTTCCTGCGTTCTTGTTCACTAGGGACAATGGCAGTGACAATGATTTCCACCCACACCAGCACCACCATCTCCGCTCCGAACTCCCCCCCCGTCACCACCACCACCACCACCAACCCCCATCATGCAGGAGGAGCATTACATAGATACAAGCTCTACTGCCATGGCTGTCTTTTCAATTAAACTATTAGATTATCCATTTAAAGAATACGAATTATGGTAGGGTACATTTTTCAGTCCAAACATTCCTACTACAGTCTGAAGTCTTCAGCTTATTTTGTTTAAGTTAATGCACAGCAACAGTTTAATTAGTAGAAAATAAGTTATAAATGCTCAGCTGACCTTAATCTGGATGCTTTCTAATTTAGAACTATTTAAAGATGCACACTATCTGCACTATTCCACCCCAAATACTCCACCAGCTTGATCTCACTGAACTAACCCTTCTCTTCATGTGCTATTTTACACTGAGTTCCTCACTCAAGGACTCTTCTGAGTAGTACTTTTTCTAATGCTGGTCCTAGCATCCCAGGGAGGCAGAATTGTGTACTTTGCTTTCTATCAAGACGGTTCCACTAAAGCCTGATTGAGGTGAGCCCTTAAATGCTGATCTGGGCAGTTATAGAGGGTGAACCTTTGTTAAAACACACACTTCAAGACCCCCCCACTGTGGTGGAAACCGGCAGATGAATGAGAAATGTGCACATTAATGGCTGTGAAGGCAAATGAAGGCATCACTGGGTTTTATCGTTCTCCAGTTGTCATGGTTTGCCATGCCATTTGATTGTTGACTCCATATCTCGTAACTCATTTTCAAGGATGACACAATCCCTTTGCTAGAGACACCAAAAATGCCCAACCTCAATGGACACATGGTGTTGGAGATACACCAACCTGGAAGTACAGGCACAGATCTATATCTAAATGCAATTGATGCTTGATAGTTGCTGAGATCTTGAATTTAGGATTGATGTAGTTCTCTTGCAGCAGCATCCTTGACTGAACATTTTTTTTCCTCACTTGGCAAATGGACTAGAAAAGGTTCTCAAACCTAGACTGTTCCCAAATCTGGCTCGACCAGGAACCACCTGGTGGACTCACCACCCTTGTAGGTGACAGACAATAGAACACAAGCATTTCTGTGTCTGGAGTTTGTGCATGTAACAATTCTAACAAAGAATGCTCTGAAAGGAGAACAATCATTGATTCTTTAGGCTTGTGAGGTATAATATAATGCTGATGTTCTCAGTGAAAACCCACAAAATGTGGAAAGTCAGCACAGAGAGGAAGGAAGTCAATATGCTTTCTTCTGGAATGAGAAAGTGAAGAAAATCATCATATTCATGGAATTGGATGGACCATCAAAAATAGTAAATATATGTGCAGAATTTCGTAATTGGCATTAATGACTAGCTCATGACCTTATGCCCTCCATTTAATGGCAACCTATGGACCACAATCATCGTGCTTTTGCTTCGACTCCCTATTCTACTGCTCTTTTAAACAGTTCTGGATTCTGTATGATATTCTATCATTGACAACTGTTCCAAAACAAGACAAACTGAATCTATTGGGGCGTTTTAATGACAGAGTTAGATGCATCTCTACCACGTGGAAGGGCAACATTGGGAAAGAGAGTGGAGAAGTCAAATTCCAGTGTTTCCTCCTCTTTTTGAAGTGCACAGATTCACCATCACAACCACATGGCTTCATCAGCATTTAGAAATGAAATAATGTAGAAACATCTGTGATTGCTGCGTCCTGGACTATGTCATTGTCTGAGATCAGGCTAGGAAAGATGTGCATGTCACCTGAGCTGTTCAAGTGTAAATGATTGCTGGAGAGATCGAATACTTTTATGTTCCACCGTGAATATGCGCCTAACACCTGAAAACAGTAGACCGTCCAAGAAATCTAAGAGAAGATTTAACATCCACATTCTCCAGTATATAAAAACAAGGGAATAATTCCAAATGCAATTTTCTTCCCATCCTGCTCTCACAGACTCCAATGATGTTGGTATGGAAGGGACAGAATCAAAGATGCAATTCCTCCTTCATTAAATTGTTGTAGCAAAGAGATACTTCCAGTAACATGCTAAATCTGCTTCATTCCTGGAGTGATTCTTCTTGGGTATCCAAAACCCAACATGCAAGCATACCTTTCCTTCCTCGAAACGATTTCCACAGAGCATCAGATTTCCAATTTACTAACCATAGACCAAAAATATTTGATTGTTGTATTTAAAATGATGAAATTATTTGATAGACTACTTACGTTAGTCATCTAAGAAAGTGATGATGTGAATGTACCAGTGATGGAATCAGTGGACAAAGTCAGAAGTCACATGACACCAGGTTATAGTCCAATAGGTTTAATTGAAATCACAAGCTTTCAGAGCATAGCCCCTTTGTCAGATTTCACCTTCTCCTACAACCTGGTGCCTTGGGACTTCTGATCTGAGAAAGTACCAGCAGACATAAGTATAAATTACATATGCACAGAACTAGATTGGCTTCTATGTCTGATCAACATATCCTTACTTTGAATGTACTGGAATTGTGCCTCCCAAATTGCATGTAGTCTTCTACAACTTGCTTGATTGTTCTCAAAGATTAGGAAGAAACTTTCTGGATCCAAATGTTTTTTTTTCTCCTTTGTGATTTTAGTCATTTCCAAGAGATCGTATGGTTGTTGGCAGAAAGAGTATTGCCTCTAGGGGTGATGTTATGTAGAATTCAAAACATTCAATTGAGAAGACTTGAGAGGGCATATAATCTTTTCCTGTCCTTTATTTCTGTATATTTCCTATGTTATTTATGTGGGTAGGTTTTGGTGGGTCCAAGTCTGTCACCAGATCCTCTTAAAAAACAACTATAATTTGGAAATCAGCAATGCTGGTACTGGGGCTTACCTGATCCATCTTATGATCTGTGTTTTCAAAACATCTGAACGTGACATTGTAAATTGGCCCTACATCAAAGATTTTTGGTGAGCTTATCTGAAGTGCTATGCTATGAGATGTGGAAAGAGAAAAAAAAGTGCAACAATAGTTATTTTAGATGCTTAGCTCCTGCAGCATTATCACTTTTATGCTATCTTATATTTTACCCGGCAGATAGTACTTTAGAATAATTTTATATCTAATCTTATGAGGTATATGGTCAAGGTACATGTGGTTGGGTTAAAGGTACGCCTTGTTTAAAATTTGGAGTTTGAACAATTACATCAACAACCATTCTAAGCAGCAGAGCTTGTGAGGATATGCAGCTAACATGATTTACTCCAGTTATTCTGTCTGCCTGTTAATTGCAATTTCTATATTAAAATGTGAATCAGGAAATGAAAGAAATGATCGACTGAGATCTGCTATCAGCAACGATCAGTGGGTATTATTTAATTATTTAATAATAGCATTTTATTAATTTCAGAGAAAACTGCTAGGTTTTGAAGAACAACAAATGTATACATGTAATTTTGTAGCTGGTGTACATTGTGCTTTTAATTCCTGTTTGTTCAAGTGTCTTCTTTTTATTACAAGACCAAGAATAACTTCAAATGATGGCAATTTGATATTTCAAACTGGCAACCTAAAGAATATTGAATTCAAGACTTCATCATCTGGGAGGATTAAATTAAATAATGATGATCTGGAACAACAACTCATTCAGGTAGTAACTGATAATGTCTGACCTCTAAAATACTGTGTTGCCATTTAATGAGGAATGTAAATAACCGAGATAGTGGAGACAGTATTTTTAAGTAAGTAACTCGAACAAGACTATTATTTCACCAGACTAAACAGACATGTTTCCAATGAAATGTTCTGCTTCAGTCACTAAATTGTATATTGAGCTTCAACATGTAAAGGTAATCCTGAATGTTGGACATTAGTTTTTAACTATATTTGAATACTGACTTTCAGTTGTGCTTTTCATATAGCTGCAGATGTCTTTTATAATTTCATAACATTAATTTAATTGTTTTACTGTAATTTTAGATTAGAAAAAATAAGGATGACATTGTGGAATTGAAAACCAGTGGAGGTCATATCCCTCAGAATGTTTCTAATCAAATTGTTCAGCTGAATGCTAGGGTAAGTATACAATCTGTAATCTCTATATTGCTTCAGAGATAGTGGGAACTGCAGATGCTGGAGAATCCGAGACAACAAGGTGCAGGGCTGGATGAACACAGCAGGCCAAGCAGCATCATAGGAGCAGAGAGGCTGACGTTTCGGGCCTAGACCCTTCATCAGAAAAGGGGGAGGGGAAGGGGGTTTTGAAATAAATAGGGAGAGAGTGGGAGGCGGATAGAAGAGGGATAGAGGAGAGGATAGGTGGAGAGGAAACAAACAGGTCGAAGAGGCGGGGATGGGGCCAGGAAAGGTGAGTGTAGGTAGGGAGTTAGGAAGGGGATAGGTCAGTCCAGGGAGGACGGACAGGTCAAGGGGGCGGGATGAGGTTGGTCGGTAGGAGATGGAGGTGCGGCTTGAGGTGGGAGGAGGGGATAGGTGGGAGGAAGAACAGGTTAGGGAGGCGGGGACGAGCTGGACTGGTTTTGGGATGCGGTAGGGG